GACGAGGAGGTGAAAGCCAGCCAGGATAGGAAAGACAACAAGACAGGCACTCATTAACCTGAAACCAGTGTGGAGATCTTCTGCACTGAACTCAGCATCAAGCGTGAACCTATCTCTCAACAAATATACATAAGAAGAGAATGGAGATGGATTGGATCTGACATGCACTGAGAAGGCCTATTGGGGACATCGAGCACCAGACCAGGCACTCGAGTCGAACCTAGATGGGAAATGACGAGTTGGGTGTGTGAGGTGAGGGTGACATGGAGGAGATGGTGTGAGGAAGAAATGAGAGGTTGTGGGCAGTCATGAAGTCAGGTTGAAAAGACTGGAGAGAAGAGAGTGAAATGGAGACATGTTACTGAAGCCCTATGTTCCATTGGGAACCCAATGGACAAATAATGTAATAATAAATGAATAAATGTAGGCATTTAGGGTCATGGGAGCACACTGCTGAGGAGTGCCATACTAGGACGAAATAGCTGCCCAATGCTCCCAGATTTTCTTTTATTCCTTCAACTGAATAGCAACTTGAAATGACAATTATTGGCGAAACGTATATAAACTAGTATTCTAAAAAAAGTATAAAAAACAGGGAAATACTCCAAGACATGCAAAGACATACATATAGAGACATACACTTTTACTATCCTACATTTTCAGTCGATAAATAACAACAAAGCACCCAACGGATGACCTATATTCACTAAATACTTTTTCCTGTACTATTTAGCTTTATATTTTGATGCTAATAAAATGTTTGAACATAGAAAACACCATATAAACTATATCGGTTGAATAAGAAGTGGCTATCATGACCCACTGTAGTGCTTGAAGTGATTGATTTCGGATATGAATGTCATTGACAAGAGCATCATTCACTGGGAGCTGGCAGATACATCCAATTGACAATTCCGAAATGAGATGAAATATGCGTGAAAGTAAATTCCACTGGTAGCCATCATCGACCATTCACATCACTGAGGTTATAGTTAAGAAAATACACTTTTATAATCATCAAATGAAACTGATTGGTGAACTTCATACTAAGACATTCATGAATGTCTGTAATACATGGAACTAGTCAACTGAGAATAACTGGTTTCATACGTTGTTATGACTGATATGTTAACTCGATGAAAGCAATTTAATGAACAGTCAGAAGGTGCTTTCAACACAGCTCAACACTAACTTAAAAGACATGAAGAGGTGTACAAATGTTGACAGCCTCTATATCGGTACACGGTTATTATTAAACTTGAAATAGAATTCCTAGTCTTTCGTATACTTCCTGACAAGTGGTTAGTTTGATATCTTTGGTCGGAAAATGTGCTCGGTAGTCAGCTTCACAGAGATAGGAAGAGAAAACTCACATCTAAAGCCTCTTTATAAATATCTCCAGTTGTGGTGTATTAGATATAGAGTCCCTAAGTCAGTGTCCAGTTAGTTATCCTTATGATCATACTGAAGGTGAAAATGGTGTTGAGAATAATGGTTATTTTGAGATGACCAACTTCTATCGAAAAATACTTAGGGTGGAGAGGGTAAAGATACCGTTGATAACCTTCATATAAACCTTGACCGATTATTTCTTATTTAAAGATCAAATGACAACTATTCAACCTTTGACATACTTTCGTCTGTAATCATTAATGTGTTTGTTTGTTACTGGTATTCGATTCATCAGCTTGAATATTGTTAACAGTTTGGTAAGTTGACTCCATTAGGCCCTGGTCGACCACAGAGAGAGAGAGAGAGAGAGAGAGAGAGAGAGAGAGAGAGTAATTCTACCAATTGTGTGATGTAGACTTAACAAAAACTTCCTTTTTGATCAAACGATACTCTGAATTGAAAAAACTAAGCACCATTCTATAAGTCTGATGCCTAGAGATAGTAAATCGGTATAGCCAGATGATATTTCACCGAACAGTTTGTTAATAGCATCATAGAATTGAAGAACTCACTCCTACTCAGTCGGTGTTCTTCGAATTTACTTATTAGTGCTAGGAAACACCTCCCAGTGTTACGGTTATGCAGCCTCCAGATGCATACTACCAGACTTGCTTCACAACAAACGAGTTTCTGTCAATCTGACAAAAGTCACTCAACTGTGAATCCTTCACAGTGCAGAAACAGTGGCAATCAGGAATAAACAACTCGACTTATATCTTCAGAAAAGGTAAATATTCCCACTACAACTACATCAACCTCATTCACCGTTCACAAATTCCTTAACATCCTACCCATCGTCAACTTCCATATTCTACAGACACCTTAATGTTGATAATCTGGAATAATTTTAGTACATCTTCTTATCCTACACTTTCCATCAAGCTTTCACCTTATACTGAGTGTTAATTCAGTCTTGGAATCATTTACATCACCAATTATTTTCAGTTGAATTCTCATACTACTTAATTCTGACATTCCTCTTTATGCCCAAAGCATTTCTCAATCAGCTTCCTCAACTATTATGAATAAACTATCAAGCAAAAAGTGTCAGGTTGACAGAAGAGGCAGGGCGGCAAAGACAGGACTTCAGGAGAATGTAGAGATGACAGAGGTTATGATGATACACAACCAACAACAACAACAACAAGCACCAATCACCATCAACAGGAGAAAGATAAAGGAAGTAGCCTCTTTCACCCACCTTCCTGGACAGCATCGTTTCAACTACACACGGCACACACACAGACGAGGAGGTGAAAGCCAGCCAGGATAGGAAAGACAACAAGACAGGCACTCATTAACCTGAAACCAGTGTGCAGATCTTCTGCACTGAACTCAGCATCAAGCGTGAACCTATCTCTCAACAAATATACATAAGAAGAGAATGGAGATGGATTGGATCTGACATGCACTGAGAAGGCCTATTGGGGACATCGAGCACCAGACCAGGCACTCGAGTCGAACCTAGATGGGAAATGACGAGTTGGGTGTGTGAGGTGAGGGTGACATGGAGGAGATGGTGTGAGGAAGAAATGAGAGGTTGTGGGCAGTCATGAAGTCAGGTTGAAAAGACTGGAGAGAAGAGAGTGAAATGGAGACATGTTACTGAAGCCCTATGTTCCATTGGGAACCCAAGGGATAAATAGTAGTAATAATAATAAACCAAGCAATATCTCAATATTCATCACGTACAACTCAACAATATCGACCTCACAAAGAAGATGATGTTATCGACGAGAATATTCTACGTTTAATCAATTATCTTCTCAAGCTCAACTTAACTTTGTCACCAGTAATATTTCTAATATCCAATTCAATTATCTCATGGATCTTATTGGATCCCTTTACTACTGAATAATTTCATTATAGCTTCAACTAACCAGATCACTAATTCCAATATTCGAAACATCATAATCAATCTGTGTTAAATCTCCTGGTACACACATATGTGTATGTACATAGATGCAGTTGATTGAGAGAGAGAGACAGAGAGACAGAGAGAGAGGTGGGCGAGAGATTGACGAAGTTTATTCAGAGACTTTCAGTATTGTTGACTGGAAGCACCAGTTCACCATCAAAGTGCATCAATCATTCATTTAGATAGGTGAAAAGAGAATGGAAAGTAATCCCGGTAAATAAGAAGAAACAGGTGGTGAGGGGGCAGAGGGATAAAGAAATTAAAATCCACATATATTTGATTTTTCAATTAAATTCTCTAATGATCAACCTTTTCAGGTTTCAATTTATTTGTGCCAGCTAACCGTGATCGTAGAGAAATAGTTGTGATGTGATCGGTTGAATCAAGGTGGGAAGAGGAGGGATGATCTCCTGATCTACGTTGTGTGTGTGTGTGTGTGTGCATGTTTACGACTGCAGAAGTCTTTCAAGGTTAAGCGTGAAGAGGTTCATTTGAAGAAAGCGATTTCCACCCTTTTCAATTATTATTATCATGATGATGATGAATATTAGCAGTGCCAAAATCAGCAATGTTTCCATGGCACAATTGAATTCTCTGGAAAACAGATTTACACGGTTTACTTTCCTAGAACCTACACACACACACAGAAATCGGATCAATAGACTGTTTACTTAATCTGTTTGTACAGCATTCATGATGATATGGATGAGGAAATGGAATGTACACTATTCTTCTCTTCACCTTGGTGTTACAGTTGCGAATATTTTCAAAGATGTAAACATCTATGTGTTTGTGTGCTTGTATGTGTGTGTGTGTGTGTATTCTTGGGTGTTTCTTTCGGCAACAGATCAATAAATCTCCCATTACTGAATCGAATAAAGTATTGGGTAAGATTCTTAGGTGTTGTTAAATCACCTTCTACACACGTACACAAATAAGGAATAAGATGAAGGATTTTCAATGAAAAGATTATTTACTATTGGATAAAAATAAAATGAAATTATCAAATATATGTGTGTGTGTGTGTCGGGGAGGGGAGGGGAGGGGAGGGGGGATAGGGTGACACTGAAGGTGTTTTACACCCACTTGCACACTTATTGTTGATTTGTCAATACTAAGGCCATTTTTTCAGTGAAGTTGCCTTAAAGAAGTACATCATTGTACATGTATATTAAGACTAGGCTTTTATAAGGGTTTTCATACCTTTCTGTGCACTAATTCATTGTTCCAATTATCCATCCTTCCACCCACATAACACAATCAATCGTTTTTTTTTCTAAAAATTTACTCCAATAGCTGATAAGAGAAAGTGACCTATTTCACATTGGAAGACAATTTACTGATTGTTTCATTCTACGCATAGCCTAGTCGATGCTTTCTTGCTCGGTGTGTGTATGTAAGGAGTGGGGAGGGGGGGGGAATATGTGGCTAGGTGATGGAACATGTTAGCGTTATATACATACACACATACATGCAGACATTTATATAAATATATAAACATAATGTTACTCTTTATAAGTTTCGATTCTTAGCTGTTTTCATTACAGTTCAAATTTTCTTTTGAATAGCTAAATAACACTATTCAATCAGTTTTTTAACGTATCTTCAAACAAATCTTTACACTAATTAGATTTATTCCAATGAATCACGAATCAGAGTCACATGTGAAAATTTCGAGAACCATCTATCGTGGGGTATCCCAGGAACAACAAGACTCGAGGTAATACTATTTTTTTTTATCGATTATTATTTATCATTGAAATGTATTAGTAAACTTGTTTAGATGATCCCAAAGATTATTGATTTTTTTTCAAAGGTATTTAATTAAACAGTTAAGCGTCTGAAGTGGGGGTCATATGGAGGAGATAGTGTGAAGAAGAAATGAGAGCTAATGGGCAGTCATGGAGTCAGGTACAAAAGACTGTAGAGAAAAGAGTGGAATAGAGATGTGCTACTGAAGCTCCATGTTCCACTAGGAATCCAAGAGACACAATAATAATAATAAATTAGAGACAATTGTAATAGTAATTAGCCGTTTGTTTTTGTTGAACTTCTTACGATATTACTAGTCAGTTATTCAGTAGTATGTCTAATACAATCATTATTGTTATTACTATTCATAGTAATGTTATAATTATATATTGTAGAGTCGTGTTCGTGAATTAGAAGATCTTTTGGACTTAGAACGTGACGCTCGAGTTCGTGTAAGTCTCCTTCAATCTGCTTAACGCATTCTCTTTATAATTTGTAGTGATATTTCAAAAACTTTATACATTTTTATTCTTATCAGAATTACATAATGCCTTCAAGGTTAAAATGATAGATCCCCTATGTATATATATATATATATATACATATAAAACACGAAGGCTTACTTCAATATTCATCAGTGAAGTGGTTCTAAACACTAACATTATTTCGACTGAAAAGATTGATTTACATAGAATACATAAGCCTAATTGATTATATCTCAGTTGTTACTGCTGTTACAGTAGCCTTTTAAAGTTGTTCCTTGGATGAATGTTGAAGAAAACTTTTGTGTTTTAACTGTTTGTGTGATGTATCTTTTTAACCTTGAAAAACTAGTTCCCCTACATAGTGGGATCATTTCAATTAGTCAATATTCAATTGAGGGATCATTTTATTACGTCTTATTTTGAACTGAAGACTAGGCGACAACTTCACTTGAGATTTATATCTCTTGACTGAATGATTTTCCAAGCATGAATAAGACCAAGTCAGTTATGCTCAAATGACGTATCAGGAGGTTAGTCACTACTCGATTAGCTCTGGGTGCTAAGTAAAAAGGTTTATAGAAAGAGATGACTGTATGTATTCAACAGATTGCATCACAATATACAACCAACTGTTTACCTTAGTTAAATTAGCATTAAAAAAGAAACTCAGATCATACTGTTTTTTTGGACATCAGTCGACTTGGAAGGTGGGTAGACAAAAGCATAACGGATCAATTTTTTTCTCATCAAATGACAAAATTACGTTAGTGAATTTAGACTACTAGCGAGTAGATAAATGGAAATCACTAAAAAAAATAAAACGAGCTGCCAAAATGTTTTGTAAATTATTACATCGTAGTTGTTAGATACTTGTAATTATCTGGTGCTGTACAGGGTTGAATCGCTCGACCTCCGTTAGTAGATGGACTCATATGCAGGTGCCTGATAAGAGGCATACCACATTGTCCTTAAAAGTCAAGTGGCTTTTATCAAACTATTTGTACTTACGAGACTGTTATTCAGTGTGATATCATTCACTGTTGAAAGGGATAACAAGTATTGAACAAACTGACTGGGCATATCTGAAAGACAAACGTCTTCTTTGAGATGACGTTTATCTGATAGGAAGTATGACTACTATCTGGCAAATGTACTGTGGAGCTGTTATACTGCATCACCTACAAGATTCTTTAGTTAGACAAACTTCTATCAGCACTGACAGTTTAGTCATTAAGGTGAATCACTTGCCCGTAAGTGACACTAAAGAGTAGCTATGGAAAAAGATAATTATAGAAGTACTGTCATATATCAGTCATTCTGTTCTTGAAATAACAGACAATTAATTATCATTTTAACTATCTGAGTCAGATAGCCGTGGTTTGGTAGACTATTATTGATACGGGGTGACAATTAAAGGGGAAGTGAAAATTTGGATGGCGGCCGGACTCGAACCGGAGACCAATGGATTCCTGGACCGTTGCTCTATCAACTAAGATACGTTGTCCGACTGATGATTATAATTTTATTTCATTTCAATCACAAGGGTAAATTCATTTTTATATTTACAACATAAACAAATGTCTATCAATAGCTACGGGGATCATTACAAGGTTATCACAGTTAAGGTAAATTTAGAGGTTGAACTTATCTCTTTCCAACATAGAGATGAAGAAAGGTTTTGATAGAGCATAGTGACCAGAGTAAACAAGGTGTTCATGAAACGACCTCTGAGTTACTTTGCACTCCGCTTTATATAGACAGTCATACGGATAGTGTGTCGAAGATATGCATTCGGACAGAATCCACTTTATGCGGTCTATGTAACCAGGTAGACAAAAGCAAGTAAACTGGTGAACATACATGGAAGTAGCCCAAAGCGGCACACACTGTTGAATCAATTCAAAGTTGAATGGAAAAGAAGGTCTAATCTAAACTGAAGTATACAGTTTGTTTATCCATGCACTGAAAAAAGTCTCCATGATTTACTTATCCTCAAGCAATGCTTTTCTTAGCAACAAATAATATATTTCCAAATTAAATTGAATTATTTATTGTTTAAGAGAACATCTCAGTGATTAAGGAAACTTTTACGATCAATAATCAACTTTTTACACTTGAATCGATCAGTTTAAGTATGTTAACATTCATATAATGTCTAATTGTGGAATGAAAACGTCTCTAGATCATGATCATCACTACCAATGCTAACAATAGTAAAAAGGTACATATTGACTCCTATCAGTAACAAGATAAAAACGTCGGTGAATGTACTGTAGAATGAATATGAGATTCCAATTACAATTAATGTAGCTTATATATATATATATATATATATATATATATATATATATATATATATATATATATATATATATTAGTTCTTATGAGAAGCTGTGACCTGTTGGATGAACCAGTCGATAGTAAAGCGAATGTCAACTGAAGACTTTGGTATAGAGTTGCGCTACATCTGGGAATGACAAAAGTAGGAGAAACTGTGAACTATTGAACTGTTATTCAGTGATTGAATGGTTAACGCGTACATTGTGAAACCCAAAGTTCTTCAGTTCGATCCTTGGCTGTGTAGAGAGAGGGTTAGTTGTAGGTGCATACTGTTCAGGATTCCTATACTAGAAAGGTAAATAGTTGTCCCTTGAACATGTTCTTTTTCAAAGTGAAGTTAGGCTTAGTTGATTTCCTGCCTACGGCTTTCTCTATATGGAGAATAGGTAAACAAGTGATAAGGGATAAAACCTGTACTAGTTAATGGATTTAATAAGACCGCTTGGGTTTGAACGATTTACCATCCCTGATCATCAAACTGATTAACTGAATAAATCTTAAGGGAATTACTTTTCCAAGAGAAATCCTGTAAACTAGACAACATTGGGGGGATCCGTTTCACACCGCTGAATAACTAACCTGGGAACAGTGGGAAGTGTTAATCCAGGTTGAATGATATCTTTAAAAAGAGTGATTTCCCAGCCAAAGATTAAGTCTGAACTATTTCTTCGTCTTCTTTTTCTCTCCCTCCCTTAAACTTCTATATCAGTGTGATTATAGACCAACCTTAAGTCTACGATTTTGCTGCTAGAACTTTATAGTAACGCAAGTGTAAAGGCGATGTAACAAGTTTTTATACTAAAATACCAATGAATATGTAAGTGGAGACAGTCAGAAATTAACTAAACATTGACTCAGGACTTACTCACAGGACTAAGATGTCCGTTGATGAGATCAGATTAGGCGTACAGTTGTACCTGACTTCAACACTCTTCAACTTTAGGGACAAAATTGATAGACAAACAGAAGAAGTAGCAATAAGATCACCCATATCCCCAGTCGTAGCAGATCTGTTCATAAGGAGTTGGGAGAACACACCTTTATGAACGCATAATCCTAAACCGAAGATTCGGTGACAATAGATGGATGATACATTCACCACTATCTTCAAATCTCAACATATAGACACTTTCCTGTACACACAACATAAACTCAGTAGTAAGAGGAATTCACGTCTCATTTACAAGTAGGATTACCTATATTGGATTGCATAGTAAAACGAAGAACCGTTTACATGAAATCGACACAATCTAACAGGTAACTATCTGGACTTTATTTAAGTTATCTCATCCTATTTCAATCAGTAAGTTAAAGCAGATCTGATCAAATGTCTAAATGATAGAATTACAAAACTGACTAGTAAGTGCATGAACTTGAATAAGGAGTTGAAATACATGACAGAATTGTTAGTAATTAATAATTATCCTTTACAGTATATTAGGAATGTGCACGAACATATAAGAAATTCAAATCTGAGTGTTAGTAGTAGCGATAACACAAATCTTTATTGTGTTACCAAGTGAGTAAGGAAAAAAACATCAAAAACTTTACTTAGGATTGTGTACATGGCTGTAAACAGAGTATCATTCAAGCATACAAAGTCACTGAAGGATAAACTTTTTTCAGTTAATTTAAGGATCCGATAAACCTAGTCAAACAAAATAATCTAATCTATCAAAATCCATGAAATGACAATGAGTCAGATCAAATGTAAAGGTTGAACTAGCCAGTTTACGGTCATTAGATTAGTGGAACATAAGAATTTAGCTAAATATACAATGAAAGAACCTAACAAAATCAGTAATTTAGCATATAGTTAGTTAGTTAGTCAGCTAGTTGGTTATTTAGTTAGTTAGTTAGTTAGTTAGTTAGTTAGTTAGTTAGTTAGTTAGTTAGTTAGTTAGTTAGTTAGTTAGTTAGTTAGTTAGTTAGTTAGTTAGTTAGTTAGTTAGGTAGTTAGTTAGTTAGTTAGTTAGTTAGTTAGTTAGTTAGTTAGTTAGTTAGTTAGTTAGTTAGTTAGTTAGTTAGTTAGTTAGTTAGTTAGTTAGTTAGTTAGTTAGTTAGTTAGTTAGTTAGTTAGTTATTTAGTTAGTTAGTGAGTTAGTTAGTTAGTTAGTTAGTTAGTTAGTTAGTTAGTTAGTTAGTTAGTTAGTTAGTTAGTTAGTTAGTTAGTTAGTTAGTTAGTTAGTTAGTTAGTTAGTTAGTTAGTTAGTTAGGTAGTTAGTTAGTTAGGTAGTTAGTTAGTTAGTTAGTTAGTTAGTTAGTTAGTTAGTTAGTTAGTTAGTTAGTTAGTTAGTTAGTTAGTTAGTTAGTTAGTTAGTTAGTTAGTTAGTTAGTTAGTTAGGTAGTTAGGTAGGTAGGTAGGTAGGTAGGTAGGTAGAGAGGTAGAGACGTTGGTGACAATCTTTGTTCATCGAACCAACATCTATCCAACATATGTGTTATAGGAATGATATAACACTCATGTATACCAGAGATATGGAAACCTTTCATATGACAGGACTATAAAAACTGATTGTTGAAAGAGATGAGTAATGATAATTTATGCTAAAAATGTCATTATCAAATAAATAATACTATATCACTGACTGTATTCTACATCATATCAACAAATTTAATCTACAAAACTTTATATGATTGGTTTTTTGACTTTTTCAGGCTGAACGACATGCAGCTGACTTAGGTTTTCAAGTGGATGCACTTTCGGAGCGTTTAGATGAGGCTGGTGGATCCACAAGTCAAACTGTAAGTCATTATTATTGTTACTATTATTACTATTATGAACTTGTTGACAGATTACAAACCAAATTAACAATCGAATAATCTAGTCTTTTAGATAATCAGACTACTTGATATAGACATGTTCATTTATCAGACTGTTGCCATTTCGTATTTACTCATGATGATAAGAATCGGATTCACGAAAGTATTTTTAACCATCGTAATCCATCCCTTTTTTTCAATCAATACAATCTGCTAAACCTTAATAGTTATTGATACAATGCTGCATTACTGTAATTCACCTGAATTATGACTAGAATAAACAGGTGATTTGATGTAGCAACAAACCGATAACCATTACATTGTAAATCATTACCCTTTTCTTCGACTTGTCTTTTATTTATCCGACATCCAAGATCTTGTCTTAAATCACCTGGATATCTATCAAATGGGATATTATGAATTCGCTTGCTGAATGACATGATGTAATCAGCTAGGGTAGAATACTTACCAGAGACGCAGTAGATGAATACACCACAATAATATAAGTTACAGTAGGATTAGTTCAACAATTTGACATTTGTTAAAACTTTGTTTAGCTAAATTCTGTCTACAGATACTTTTTTTCTCTCCTAAATTCTTTCCTATTTTACTTCTATACACGTATAATAATCCATACGAGACATTAACCATTGTGTTTGTTTATCCATCATAATCCGCCTCCACTAGCTTATTGAAATGCCAAAAATATTTTGATCATATATTGTGTATGAATAATAACAATAGTACTATTACTTATATCACTAATATTGGAAGATATTTAGAGGCTGTTCTTTCCTCGATACATTTACATTTTTGCTTTCTTTCATTTCCTGATGACCATATATGGAAATCTGTGTAGGCTTGACTGTTCACCAGTATACATGAAGGCCTAGAAACACGCATGCACCCACCCATCCATTGTGCCATTTGTATGCCAATAGACGGACACACGTACACTTGTGCCCGCACATACACACACAGTGATAATCAATAAAGAAAGTGGTGGCATTTTAGATTTAGATGATTGAAAGGCAACTGTCTTTGATTCCTCTGTCTTTCCTAACCCATTCATTTATGTGTTTGTATCAGATATAAAGTACAGACATGTTCAAATGTGTGTTAGAACCCCCTGTATATCTATCGGTCTACTTTTCTGTTTTCTGTGACGCTCAGTAGGTGACGTTAGGATTCTTTCTAACTTGCTTAGTTAACAGACATTTTGTATATCCAAGATATAAAAAAAACCAAATTTGGTAGCGAAATTCCTCATAGATTGAAATGACAATTGAAGATAAATAATCATGAAGTTTTTTAAAAAAAAATGGGAGTTTTTTTATTCAATTAGCCTGCTAGTTTACTTTGTCTTACAATTAGAACACTATACGTGAGGTTAACATATTTCAGTGGTCCAAGGTTCGAGTCCTGATGAGAAGAACACTGCTCATTGCGTAGTAGGTAAATCCACCTGACGAGCGAATTCCGAGTAGGACAAATCACGCATCCTCAACTGGACTACTGGCCACCAACAAATACAGTCAAGGTATCAAATATAACTAGGCAGAACCACTTCTGCCACTACAACTTGACGGTGAATAATCTATGCAAATCCGAAAGTTTTTGAGATGATGGGAAATAATTCTCATGTGTTACATGAGCTAGATGACTTACTTGTGGAGCTTTCATCGTCATTCTAGACGACATCATCAATAACATAATATGCAGAAAGAAGTGATCTAAAACGTTTCCTCCACAAGTAGCTTGTTTTGATGGCTTTGTTTATGATTGGTTGTTTCTGTTGAAGTTTTGTCATTGTCTCTTCATGTTTATTCTGATTGGTTGTCCTGATGACCTGGAATATAACTTTTCTGTTGCTTCTTATTGGTTGACATATTGAGTCAATGTCAACATGTCTGTGTAACTGGGAGAATGTAAAAATCCTGCATAGGTGAAGTACAAAGAATGCTAGAGCACTTTTATAAGGTTGGTATCCTATATCACTCAACGGTCATACACACATACTAACACATTGACTCACTCTATCAACCAATAACAAACGAGATAAAGTAAGTCAAATTCCAGGTTATCAAGATAACCAATTAAAATAAATATAACGAGACAATGTTAAGATTTTATCGGAAGTAGCCACACACAAGGTCATCAGGCGAAGGTAGTCAACACCTTGTGGAGAAAGCCTCATTGGTCACTTCTTTCTGTATTTCGTGCTGTTGTTGATGTTGTCTAGACTGCTAATTAGAACTTCATTGTTAAACCATTTAACTCAGAGAACACAAAACCGTCGAAATTCAGAAGTAGTAAATACTCTCCGACTATCGACGAAGCTGAAACATAATTTTATTTGTCTAATCACATTATCTGCCAACAATTTTTTTCGTCTACAATGATCTTTGCTTATTGAGTATCGTTTATGTTACTGTGTAACTTTTTGCTTTTTCTTTCTGTTGAAAATTAAACATAATTACATTTCAATTTAGCTGAAAGTTGAGAACGTGGTAAGAGATTAGTGAATAATTTGATTATTCGACGTGTATATTTACCCCTTTTCCCCCCTTCATCATCTGGCATGTCTTGTAGTATTGACTGTGTTAGTTATCTAACTGATTATTTGTGAATATTTATCCTTCGAACAGCACAAGTAGTTTTTCTTTCTCTACAAACACATTGAATTAGTACACATTTTTGAAGGAGACGCTTAATCGCATAGATAAACATAGAAACAAACATTAGAACAAATAGAGAGTAACTACTACACTCACTTTTGTCAATAATCCTTTAGGTTAAAATACACACTCTGCCCTTTCAACTAATCCTTAATCGCCATCACATGTTCAATGTTCAACGTCTGCTGAATTAAGGTTCATGCAATGAAGTATTCTGTGTAAATCTTTCCTGTTGCAAAATACTAAAATACATTGGGAGGCAGAAATTGTCAACTAAACCAAGAATAGATGAGAAAGGAACACTAACCTTTAGATAAAAACATATTACACAACACTACCTAACCTAAAAAAAAAGGTTACTTCCCTTTCACTGATCCCTTCAAGATAGGTAGATGGAAAATTCCCATGTAAAGTGATTTAGGTGGTGTTTTCATTCGTCACAAATTCGTCGTTACAAAATAATGGTCAAAATACACATTGAACAAGCAGATTTGGAAATTTCTTCTTATTGCTTCAAAATAACTTATATCTTACCATGGGAATAAAAGTTGACTTACTAACCTAGAAACTCTGGACGGTATTGAACATCAGATAAACAAGGAAGTTAGTCGGGTTTGGAAATTTATATTTGATGCAAATTGAGGCTGAGAAGAAGCACAACATATATGACTCATGATTCCAAACACTTCATTTATTCAACTGTTTGTTTCAAAAAGAACACCTTTGAAGCAGGCAGTGAAGTGTGTATAGCTATCCTTGAAGGTTAGCAACTAAACTGAAGTTACTGAGCTTTATAAGACGCTGATAAAGTAATACTACTGAATACGCTAATGACTTTTCACTGCTCCAAAATGTGTCAGTAGATATAGACTGTCACGTGACGTCAAGGCCGAATTTATTCGACAATAATGCATATATATATATATATATATATATTTCATGGGCAATGAAATGCCGAAGGTCAAAGATAAAATAACTTATTCTGATTGGCTGCCTGTAATACGAAATATCCAACAAGATTCATTCAAATTTAGCTGCTTCTTATTGTCTGTTACGTTAGATTTGTTGTAGATTTCTTTTCTAATTTAGTCGATATTTAACAAAGGAGAGCACCTGATTGAGAATATCAAAATGTATTACTGTTATATACCCTATTGTTAATGTGTTCATTATATTTTTCTGATGTTTTACTAGCAAGAATTGTTAAAACGTCGTGAAATGGAAATAAATAAACTTCGTAAAGACTTAGAAAATGCTAATGCTTCACTTGAATTAGCTGAGACTTCAATGAGACGTAGACATCAGACAGCATTGAATGAATTAGCCTCAGAAGTTGAAAATTTACAGAAGCAAAAAGGAAAGTAAGTCTATCTCTCTAATTTGTTCCATCTATTTCAATATAAATCATTCCAGTTAGGGAATAGTTCATTTTTGTATTGTGTATAGATCCAACTCAGTGATAGAATAACAAACTAATAGGAATTCATTCTATCTTGAACCAAGTGAGTATGTTGATGGGAAAAAAAAGTCTCAAATGAGAGGGGATCTTTTGAAAACTATCGATTAGGAGATTTCCTAGTTAAACAATTTTATGAACTTCTGATATAAATATTAGTTGACTGCAAAAATAGACTAACAGTGTTACGATAATGTTAAGTATATGAAGCTTAAAGTTATCTCGATTATTGATTGCAACAAGACATCAGAGTATTCCAAATTTCGACTGTGACCTCTTATGTGTTTCAATGTTCATCAATAGTAAGAATATGAAAATTCTTGTGAATATTAGAAACCTGAGAGTTTCATTTTTATTGATTTATCAGTTGTATCACACACACACACACACAATGAAAGAACAGTACTGTTAACTGGATTACACATTTCACACACAATCTATTCAACAGAGTCATATCAAGCCGACTAACTACACAACACTCAGACATCATTCATGTATTGTCGTAATTTCCTCAGCTCCATTCGTCATATGGAGAGTAGGATTTTCCATATATCTTGAACAAGTGCTTAACCATTCCTGTTGCGGTATGTATAAGGTCTTGCTTGATTCGATCACTTCATCATGTCAGCTTTATAAAATCTCACATCATGTTATCCTACTGTGTGTAATCATATGCATAACAATGGGTGAACCATATTTATAAATTTCTTTATCTTATCACCATTTGAAACAGTCCCTTTTATGAATTTCGACAGCGTAATTAGAAGACGAAGTTTATCTGAGCAATGTGATGTATTCGCGCAATACACTTCGAACAATCTGATCACACATTCACTTGTCAAGTCAATATATATACTAAACCGAGGACTGGGAGGGGGATAAATACAACAATTAACACAATAGGGGATTGAAATTAAGAAAGATGAGGACAAACAGGAAGTGACATAGTTGATCCTAATCTTAGGCTGACATCAGCCATTAAGAAAACGTATTGCGCAGCGAATCTTACCATTGTGCAGAAAACAAAACACGTGCTTCACCAAAAACCTAAACACTGCATCAGTGATTACGTCACATCCCAATGTGTTTACCAATTTACATGTGTGTGTGGTCTCACATACATAGGGAGGAGTAATCGAGTTATGTAGTTGAGGGTGGGAGAACATGCACCTAAATGGCTTCAAAAACAAATGGAGTGTGAAACAAGTGATAAACGCTGGTGGGAGACGACTCTCTTCATCTATAGCTAAACATATCATAGAAACAGGTCACAAAGTTAATGTTCAAACAACTTACAAAGTTTTATATAGAAACAGTCAGGGACGTATTCTGAGATTTGCGCAAGCCATAGCCATACACAAATTTAACCCACCTTTATGTGTACAAAAACAGTTTGTTATTACAATACACCTACCTTGGTAAACTTTGTTTTCTCACCAAGATTAGGACCAACTATGTCACTTCCTGTTTGTCCTCATCTTTCTTAATTTCAATCCCCTATTGTGTTAATTATTGTATTTATCCCCCCTCCCAGTCCTCGGTTTAGTATATATATTGACTTGACAAGTGAATGTGTGATCAGATTGTTCGAGGTGTATTGCGCGAATACATCACATTGCTCACATGAACTTTGTCTTCTAATTACGTTATCACGACTTACCAGTTTCCATCTGGCTAGGATTTTGTGCTCAGATACTCAAACTGACCTCACCCTAGTCGACTACCTTCAACTCACAGTCATTGGAAGGGATTTCATAAGCCAAGTTAATCTGCCTAATTGGATCAACGGGATCTTTGAAGCTACAAAGCTTATTTAGGAGTGACTTTGTCGGCTTAAATACCACTCTAATCCCTGTCAGCCTTATTGAGAATCCTACGTAATATCTCTGAGGTGCCTTCCTTGTATGGTAATACTGTGGAGGTTTCAAATTCTCTCTACACATTATTGACACTGTTACTACTGACATTATTATTATTACTACTATTAACATCTGAGTCAGTAATATTAGTCATATTTACCATACGATTCCTCAGAGACTTTTCAATTAATTTATGAAGGTAATTATTGATGAGTAAGATGTGTTTAATGTATCTGGTTCTTCTCATCCTGTTACTTCGACACTTTACTGAGCCAACTTTAATTGACATACAAGAGACTATTTGAATTCTAAGTAACGGTTCGAGTGTACAGATTTTCTGTAGACATTCGTGTCTAAACTTTCATCTTGTTTCCGTTTCATTCTGTAATCGAACATCACTAATTCTCCTCCACCACTTTCTGATTCACAAATGAATTGGATCTGGTTGACTGCTGAATCTGAATGTGTGAAGAAAGTGTCGATGTGCTACGATTTCAACATTAAAACCGTGTCATCTACAGACGACATATGATGAATGGAGTTGAGGAAATTACGACAATACATGAATGATGTCTGAGTGTTGTGTAGTTAGTCGGCTTGATATGACTCTGTTGAATAGATTGTGTGTGAAATGTGTAATCCAGTTAACAGTACTGTTCTTTCATTGTGTGTGTGTGTGTGTGTGTGTGTGTGATACAACTAATAAATCAATAAAAGTGGAATCACGTCCTACCATAGGTCACAAGTTATGTTAGGAAGTCTCAGAAAATATGAAGTTTCAACCAACCACATCTGCTTGACAAGTTAGATGTCTCTCACCGCCGTTTCCGCTTTCGATATGGTGTTCTTTGACTATTTTTTTCCAACAACGACATCATGTAATGAAATTATCTTGTTAGAATTAATGCTACTGGGGAGCACTATCCGACAAGTTCATATTGATTCTTGAACAGGGAACTAATTTGTTCATTCTGTGTATGTACATTTACGTGCATGCCCACTGAGAAGGTTGGCCAATGATTTCTTTATTATTGATGTTTTCATTTCATTGGTAGCTTTTGTTTCTCCTACTACTTCTTAAGACTGAATTCTTATTGGTTGTTAACTCTTAACCTACCAGTGGATTTGTTGGTTGTCAAGGTCATTCAGAACATATATATAATCAGTATCACCGTCAACTGTTGTTCAGACAATAAAAGCTCTCTGCCAATGATTCGTCTTCACTTCCTGTCTTCGTGTGTCTATGTTATTGTTATTACGGTGGTGGTTGACGTTCTGATTAGCAGTTAGAGTAAATCTTTCTACACATAGACTGCTAGGTCATATTTACCATTTATAACAAACTCCCTGATATATTACCATTAGATTAACAACTTCACTCTTTCATTAGACAAACACTAGAATCACGTTCACAGAATATTAGATGAAGTTGTGCTTGTCCTGTCCAGAAAAAAAAGGAAGATAAACCTGTGTACACCCAACACACACACATACACACAACAATTCAATTATTATGAAAGGAAATGAGTTCCGTCAATCGTTTATTAAAAGAAACATGTGAAACTACAGGGTTAAAGATAAAAATAAACATCTTCAATAGTTATTATGCAATACATTTTTGTCCTTATAAAGGAATTTATTGCCTCTTCAACTTTCTAAGTAGTATCTTATGTGTGTGTGTGTGTGCGTCAGTATGAAAACATGTGTGCCTAGGTGTTCAGGTAGCTGGGTCTGTATCTGGGTCATAGCTGCACGTGACTTGAAATTGCAATGTAAGATAAGTAATATGACACATTTTGTAAAAGGAAGGCAACAGTTGTACTATTAAAAGTGTAAAATATTTTCTTCCCGTCATAAAACTGGGTTGAACAGAGAAGAAAAGTGAGCGCAGACTGAAGATTACAACAAGGTAGAAGTAAAGGAATAAAACGGAAGAGTCTTTGAAATTTCTGACTGGTTTGCATACTACTTCTCACCACTTATTCTGGTGTATATTTGTTAAGCAAATAGGAAGGGCTGTGTATGTTTGTGCACAATTACAAACCTTTGTAGTGAAACTATTCTATTACACAACTAACCTATCTCAGGAGGATAAAATGAAAACCACTGAAATACTGAAATCTAGTTTATCTATGCTGATAATTTCCATTGTAGGATGTCAGTTGAATACTCTAGTAACTATATGTTTTAGGAAAGTAGGCCCACTCAATAGTGGATCTTGAGATATGATTATTGATGAGTTGTATATATTCTCCTTAGTTGAACAATTCCTGTTTGTTTTTACACACACATATACAGAGCGGAGAAAGATAAGAGTCATCTCATCATGGAAGTGGATAATGTTCTTGGACAACTGGATGGTGCTTTGAAGGCTAAGGTTAGTAAATGTTTAAAAAGTTTTGAAAAGAATGTAAACACAAAATCTATACAGACCAATTACTAGACTTGAAAATACTAGAGAAAAAAATTAATCATCAGAGTTCAGTTTTTATATTCTCTGAAAAGGTTTTTCATACATGATGTAGTTTAATTATGTGAGATAGTTAACCAATAAGAAGTGTTTGATGGTCGTAGGATTTTGAGATGATGGAGAATATTTGTAGGTCAGGAAGATAATTTCCATGGTTTAACTATTAACCTCGAATTGTCATTTTCAAGCAACAACAAGAGCACGAAATACAGAAAGAAGTGACCAATGAGGCTTTCTCCACAAGATGTTGACTACCTTCGCCTGATGACCTTGTGTTTGATTGGCTACTTCTCAACATTGTCTCGTTATATTTATTTTAATTGGTTATCTTGATAACCTGGAATTTGACTTACTTTATCTCGTTTGTTATTGGTTGATAGAGTGAGTCAATGTGTTAGTATGTCTGATGACCGTTGAGGGAGCTTATGAAAATGCTTTGGCATTCTGCAGATTTCCATTATCCAGGATTTGTTCATTTTCTCAGTCAAATTCATGTCCACACTTGTCTACACGCATTGATACGAAGGGTGAGAGGTCATGAGTGGCTTCATTAATAGTTGAATTAAACAAATTCATTTTTACAGATACTAAAATAACCTATTAGGATTGTGAACAGAGTTTTAGGATATCATCTCACATAGCATCAACAACAATGTTCACTTCAACTGAGGCATAGTTAATGAATTCCAAATAGTAGTCTGTGTAATTAACCTTAAAAAAATTAGTATAATTACAATATTTTGTGTTTTGATTTCATAGCAATCTGCTGAATCCAAATTGGAAGGATTGGATAGTCAACTGAATCGTCTTAAATCACTATCCGATGACTTGCAAAGACAATTGACTGAGTTGAACAATACCAAATCTAGGCTGACATCAGAAAACTTTGAATTGTTACACATTAATCAAGAGTATGAAGCTCAAATTCTCAACTATTCCAAAGCTAAATCTTCACTTGAAAGTCAAGTGGATGATTTGAAACGATCACTAGATGATGAAGCTAAGGTAAGTTGAGATATCTCATCAATGTGATATTTTCAAAGGCTAGATCATTTCGAAACTAAATCCTTATCTCTTACTAAGCTGAGTAGATTGACATTATACGTGACATTTTTACTAGCGATGAATATCCTGCCAAATTGGTGAACTAGGACATTGAAGAAATGAAAGTCAAACCGGAGATGATTACAGTCTCTAAGAAACCTGTTTTCTGGAGACTTGAATTCAAAGATTACATCTTTGGTGAGATTGTGATGCAACATTTGAGAAGATATTTCAGTCCGTTAATGATAGTTATTAGATATAAAGATAGACTACTTGATTCTGCCTGTTCTATACGCATTAATCATTTAGGTTACTTATGTGGAACCAGCTACATAGGTGTACAGCATGCCTAGTTTACCATAGAATACCTGAATATCACACAGTATGGCTGAGCTAAGCACAACCGCACACCGTTCAGTCTTTGGTGTAGCCCTCGTATCCGTATACTGTACGCACGACAGAAACAAGCTAAAACATTTTGCTGAAGCTATAACTTTACTGAACTAATGGTGGTAATGCGGTTGTTTTTCTGAATGACTGATCAAATTTGAAAGTTGACACTATACAGTTGTTTCTTTGACCGTTATCAACCTCATTGAACAGTAGCTATATGCTATATGATGTAGCTACATGCCAAGTGATTCACAATGGATAGCTCAGTGATGCCTTTGAAGTGAAGCGAACACAGGAGTAAGACAAGGCAAGGTTGCCTACTATCATCGATCATCTTCCTCATTGTGGTCTAGTGGACTGGATCATGCAACAAACTGTGGGAAGCGAGAAGAGGGGCATACTCTGTTTGACTGATGAAAAGACCCTACACCATTTGGATTTCGCCGATGATGATGATTTATGTCTAATGTCTTATGCCGCACAAACTCGAAGATGTACTGGTGAAAACTAACAAGTTGGCGGAAGAGGCGAGGGAGGAAAACGAAGACGGAACTTCCTTCAGGGGAACGTGGAGAAGACAAAGTTGATGAAGATACCCAACCAACAACAACAAGCGCCAATCACCATGAACGGGAGAAACTTATAGGAAGTAGTCTCTTTCACCTACCTACCCACCTACCTACCTACCTACCTACCTACCTACCTACCTACCTACCTACCTACCTACCTACCTACCTACCTACCTACCTACCTACCTACCTACCTACCTACCTACCTACCTACCTACCTACCTACCTACCTACCTACCTACCTACCTACCTAGGCAGCATCGTTTCAACTACAGGCGGCGGCTGAGATGAGGATGTCAAAGCAGCTAGGATCGAAAAGATAGTAAAACAGGCCTTCCTGCATTAATCTGAAATCATTGTGGAGATCTACTGCACTCTACTGCATTGTACTGCACTTAGCATAAAGCATAAACATGATGCGGATTTTCAACAATAAGTCAGTCATACAAGTCACTGCTTCCATGTGATGGTTCACAGACTTGGCACATTACGGGAAGCATTTCCAACAAACTGCACACATACATCAACAACAGCTGCCGTCTACGCTCACTCCATACTGACACTGAAGATCAGATGGCCAGAATAATAAGAATAAGCAACAAGGAGGTCACTGTGCCTGACAACGAACCAGCCAACCAGGAAGCTATGGGCCAATAAATTTGCAGAAGAATAAAATGAAGATGGATTGGATTGGACATGCACTGAGCAGAGCGTCAGATGAGGCCGTCGAGTGGAACCATAACTGGAAACGACGAGTTGGGTGTCTGAGGGATGTAAGAAGGCGGTGGCGTGAGGCATAAGTGAAAGGTCATGAGCAGTGGTGGAGCCAGGTGGAGCCAAACTAGAAAGAAGAGATTGAAATGGCGCCGTGCTACTGAATCCCCATGTTCCACTAGGAATCCATAGAAAAAATCAAAAATAACAGTTGTTTCATTGAGACAATGAAGATCATATGACTTGAAGAGACAACTTTTGATCGAATAAAATGTGTATAGATTGTGTACTTATACACCTTAGTCTTCAACCTTCCTCTATCTTTGATTGAATAAAATAGAATTGGACAGGATGATGATTATGATTAACTAAATGATATCAGACTAATCATCAAGGTTATTTGATAGATATTAGCCAATCAGAGATGAGATGAGGGCAGCATTTTGATTGGATGCTGTGACTGACTAAGATTTGTACAATGGAACAGGTCAATAGGTTACTGTAATTAATCTCCACTTTCATTTAGATTTATTATTATTATTATTAGTCCCTTGGGTTCCTAGTGGAACATAGGGCTTCAGTAGCACGTCTCCAGTGAACTCTGTTCTCTGAGATCTTTGAACCTGGTTCCACGACAGCCCACAACCTCTCATTTCCTCCTCGCACGACCTCCTCCATGTCACCCTCACCTCCGACGTCCAACTCGTCGCTTCCCATGGGGATTCCACTCGAGTGACTGGCCTGACGCGTGATGTCCCCAGTCGGCCTTCTCAGTGTATGCCCAATCCATCTCCACTTCCTCCCACTGCATATTTGTTGGGTGATAGGTTGTTGGTTGGTTCGTTCCCAGAGCTCCTTGTTGCTTATTCTTTCTGGCAATCCATCTCATCTGATCTTCAGTAGCGAGCGTAAGCAGTTGTTGATGAATGTCTGTAGTTTATTGGAAATGCCTTTCGTGACGCGCCAAGTCTCTGAGCCATACAGAAGCACTGACTTGACTGAGTTGGTGTTGAAAATCCGTATCTTGTTCCACATGCTGAGTGCAGAAGATCTCCACACTGGTTTCAGGTTAATGAACGCCTGTCTTGCTGTCTTTCCGATTCCGACATTGACATCCTCGTCTGTGCCACCACCTGTAGTTGAAACAGCGCTTCCTAGATAAGTGAAGGAGGTTACTTCCTTCAAGTTTCTCCCGTTGACGGTGATTGGAGTTTGTTGTTGTTGGTGGTGCTGTATCTTCATCACTTCAGTCTTCTCTATATTCACTTGAAGTCCCGTCTTCGCTGCCTCTTCTATCAACTTGTTAGTTTTCGCCTGTAGATCTTGAAGTCTATGTGACATCAGGCACAAGTCATCGGCGAAATCCAAGTCTTCTAGGTTCTTTTCCGTAGTCCAGTGTATCCCCCTCTTCTCGCTGCCTACTGTTTGCTGCATGATCCAGCCCACCACAATCAGGAATATCATGGGTGACAGTAGGCGGCAACCTTGTTTCACTCCTGTCTTCACTCCACCTCAAAAGCATCACTGAGCTTCCCATTGTGAATTACTTGGCATGTGGCATCTTCATATAGTTGTTGAATGAGGCGGATAAAGGTTTGTGGTATTCCGTAGTAGTGAAGCAGTTTCCAAATTACCTCTCGGTCGACGCTGTCAAAGGCCTTCTCAAAGTCGTTAAAGTTGAGGTAGAGAGCTGATTGCCATTCTATGCTCTGTTCTATGATGATGCGAAGCGTTGCAATTTGGTCTGCAAATGATTTGTACTTCCTGAAGCCTGCCTGTTCCGGTCGTAGTTTCGAATCCAGTGCATTTTTAAGCCTATCCAGGATGATGCGGCTTAATATTTTACTTGGGGTGGACAGGAGAGTGATTCCTCGCCAGTTCTTGCAAACACTGAGGTCTCCCTTCTTCGGCAGTTTGACAAGGTAACCCTTCTTCCAATCAATGGCCAGGTACCTTCTCTTCCTTCCACACCTTCTGCAATAGTGGTGTTAGCATGTCTGCTGTTGTCTCTGAGTCTGTTCTCAGTGCTTCTGGAGGTATCCCATCTGGTCTTGCTGGTTTCCCGCATTTCAGTAGCTTTATGGCGTTCAGGACTTCCATTTCCGTTGGAGGATTTATGTTCACTTGTAATTCAGCGGCTGTAGGTGGTATTTCTGGACGAAGTGCAGGTGGTGGTGGTGGTCGATTCAAGACCTTCTTGAAGTGGTCGGCCCATTGTTTCCTTTGTTTCTCTTCTTTCGTAATTAAATTTCCTTCTTCATCTTTTATTGGTTTCATCTGTGTTGATCTCTTCCCTAATAGCAACCTGGTTATTTGATACAATGTTGTCAGGTCTCTCTTACCAGCATGCAGCCTGTTCTGCTTCGCTTGCCAGTGTTTCGTAGAAGTGTCTTTTGTCTTTCCGTGCTATCTTCTTTACTTCTTTGTTCAGTGTTTTATACATTGTGCTCAGTTCCTCTTGTCGCTGAGCGTCCTTGCACTGGTTTATCTTCTGTTTCACCATCTTCCTCTCCCTGCTCTATCAGCTTCCATGTATCCATCGAGATCCATTCCTTGTCTTCTTTCTTCTTCCTTCCTAATACTGTTGTGCAGGTTTCTTTCCACATCTCTTTCAAAGACTCCCAGTGTTCTTCCACACAGGTTTCTCCAGGGATGTTCCTCGATATCTCCCATTTTGTCTTGATGGCTGCCTTGAAGACCTCTTTGTAGTTTCATCCTTCAGTTTCCGAGTGTTGTACTTGAATTGAGGTCTATCACCAGCTTCCTTGAAGGCTTTTAACTTGATTTGGAAGGTTGGTTCCTTGCACTAGATAGTGGTGTGAACCTACATCTGCTCCTCATCTTGCCCTTGTGTCAAGTAGACTGCGTCTCCATTTTCTTGAGATTGAGAAGAAGTCGATCTGATTTTTAGTGTTTTGGTGTCTGGTAAAATCCATGTCGCTTTGTGGATATCCTTGTGCTGAACACACTGCCTCCAACCACCAAATCGTTGAATGCGCAGAATTCTGCAAACAATTCTCCATTCTCGTTCATCACCTCACCAAACGCTTCTCGACCCATGGTTGTTCTCTTCCTGTGTTGTCCACCCCAGTTTGGCATTCATGTCACTCCGCCCATTAGAATTTTGATATCGCCACTTGAGGTGAGGTCTTGTCCAGTGTTGATTGAAGTTGTCTGTAGAATTCCTCCTTTTTCTCTTCACCTGCATTATTTGTAGGTGCATAGCATTGTATGATTGTGACCTTCCTTCCTTTTTAGTTGAATCTTGCTGTCATGACCCTGGAGGAGATTGGTTACCACTGCATGTGAGCCTTCGATGCTGTTGGGGACATCATGATAGCCACTCCATAACTCAGTGTGCTCGTGGTTGTCGTCTGGGTGACTGGAGTAGATTATTGATTCTCCAGTTGACAGTTTTGGGAGTCCACTCTCATTCCATCTGCTTTCGCAAATCCCAAGCACTTCAGTGTGATACCCTCTCATCTCGTTTGCAATCTGGGCTGCCTTACTGGGTTCAAACATCGTGCGGACATTCCATGTCCCCACGTTTACTTTCGCTTTCATCGAGAGAAGACACATCGGCCAATTGGCTTCCCGAAGACAGGCTTTCACCAACTGGCGTCATTTCGCCTCTCCGATTCCAGCGAGGAATAATTTTGTTTTCATTTTTTATATTTTGTTTGTGCTTTGAAGTTTCTTTAGCGGTTAGATTTGTTTTACGGGGTAGGGTTGCTAGCCCTATGCCCAACCTTCCCTCTTTACCCGGGCTTAGGACCGGCTAGTAACTAGTGAACTAGTTAACCAGGCGAGGTTTTCATTTAGACTGCTTATGGTTATTTCCTGATGAATTTTCTTTTTTTTCTAATGTTTAGAGTCGTTTTAACCTTCAAGCTCAACTAGCATCATTACAAATGGATTATGATCATTTACAAGCTAAATATGATGAAGAAAGTGAAGAGGCTAGTAATTTACGTAGTCAAGTATCTAAATTCAATGCTGATATTGCTGCATTGAAATCAAAGTTTGAACGTGAAATTATGAGTAAAACAGAAGAATTTGAAGAGATGAAGTATGTTTAACAAGTATAATTATTGCTTTTGATACTTTATTGATTTTATAGCCATAAGAAGTGGAATAGAATTGGTTTGACTAAAAACTACTTGAAATCACTTTCAATTCAGCTATGAATCTAACTATAACTTGTAGATGTTCAACAAAGATTTGGTGAAAATATGAAATGATTATCTGAATTCTGTTATTTAAGTGAACACTTGAAAAAATGAGTATGATTCATTTTAAGAAACAAATCTAGTGAAGGCTTTTTAAATGGTATACTGGTAAAGGCTATTAAGTCATTGAAAACTAGTAAGTGTACGATGATAGTTGGCTTAACCCTCTTACCTCTCATAAGAAGCCTTAAATCCCTGAAGCCTTTCACAAACAATCGTGAAGTTTCAAGACAAAGCATGTGAACCCACATGAAAACATCACATTGGCTGATGAGACAAAGTTAGTAGTTAGTCAAGGCCCTTGTAAGTATATATAAACGGTTACTAACCCTTTCTTTTTACCTACGAAGAAACTAAGCAACTAACCAGCAATGGTTATTTCTCATAGGCTCACATTCATTTGTAAATTATTACTGTTATCATTATTATTTGCCCTTTGGGTTCCTAGTGAAATATGGGGCTCCAGTAGCACGTCTCCATTCCACTCTGTTCTCTACAATCTTTTGAACCTGACTCAACGACTGACTACAACTCTCATTTCTTCTCAAATGATCTTCTCCATGTCACCCTCGCCTGGAACACCCAACTCGCCATTTCCTTTCTGGGTTCCATTCAAGTGCCTGGCCTGGAGCGTAATGTCCCCCAAATGGTCTTCTCACTGCCTGTCGAATCCATCTCCACTTTATTCTTCTTCATATTTCTTTAGCGATAGGTTCTTGGTTGATTCGCTGTCAAGCCAGAGTGGGTTCCTTGTTGTTTATTTTTTATGGCCATCTGAACTGAGCTTCAGTAACGAGCTAGAGTAGGCAGTTGTTGATGAATATCTGTAGAGATGCTTTTCGTGACACGCCAAGTCTCTGAATCGTCACATAGAAGCACTGAATTGGGGTTGAATTTTCTCATATTGTTCATGCTTTATGCTGAGTGTAGTGCAGAAGATCTCCACACTGGTTTCAGGTTGACCAACGCTTGTGTTGTTGTCTTTCGGATCCCTGTTTTGACATCCTAATCTGTGTCTATTCCACCTTCAGTTGAAACGATGCTGTCCAGGAAGGTGGGTGAAAGAAGCTACTTCCTTTAACTTTCTCCTGTTGGTGGTGATTGGTGCCTCTTGTTGTTGGTTGGATGTCGTCATCACCTCTGTCTTCTCTACGTTCTCTTGAAGTCCTGTCTTTACTACTCTGCCTCTTCTTTCAACTTTATAGTTTTCGCTTCTAGGTCTTCGAGTTTGTGCCACAAGACAGTAGACACAAGTCATTGGCGAATAGATTTCAGGAAGCCCACTGATTGCAGTCAGTGACTTACTATGAGAAAGACTTCAGAATGTTGTGTGTGATGAGTGAGGTTAACCAGGTTGGAAGTGAAGAATGAAGCCTACCGATGACGTAGGATGAGCATTGGAAACAATGGACCGTGGGATCTCAACTAATTAGTTCAGTGATAGCGTACTGATTATGAAATCTCTCACATAGTACCGCATGAGTACCATTGAAGAGTTGATAACTAAGAGGTAGCAGTTAAATATCACTATTAGAATTTCGATAGTTCTCTTGTTGACAATGAAAATTACTCTCCAAAATCAACCACTTCCCACAAACTCCCAGTAGAAATTTTCCACTGTTTGACTTCATTGTTTTCAATGACTAATTGAAAGGTTACAAATATTCAGAATGGGAGTGGATGCTTAGTTTCAAAACCTTACGATTAATCCTGACTATTCGTACAGGTGGGTACAGCTGCCGTTTGCAAGTTGAACACCATTTTTTGATAAACACAAGGTGGTACTTATTTACTAAATGAGTAGTATATATTTAACAGTAAATTATTTTCTTATCGACATTATTTAGACGGAAATTAACTATGCGAATTAGTGAACTTGAAGACGTCGCTGAAAGGGAGCGTTTGAAAGCAGTTTCATTGGAGAAAATGAAGACGAAGTTAACGCTTGAAATCAAGGATTTGCAAGCTGAAGTAGAAAATGTATGTGTCGGTTTTTAAATTGTTGTTTACACACTCTTTTTCACCAATGGATTCCAATGGATTAAAAGTTGAGCACAAGTTGGTTAAGAAAGTTGAGTTAGCTGTGAAACACCTGATGAGGATCAATCACAGTGAAAATAGTGCACGCATTCATGTAATAGGCACAGAGTCACATCTGTTTTGTATTTCTGACCAACCCCGGTGGGCGAAGCCTGGGGTTCGAATTCTTGCCTCACTGGTTGAAAGCCAACTCCCGAAACCAATATGTTCCAACTCCACAGTTGTTGGCATTCATTTTACAGTGCTTATCATGGGATTATACACACTAATAAAGGCTTCTGTAAATGACTTTGTTGGCTTCGGTATGTTCAATTTGAGGATGTGCGGGGATTTATGGATTTTAATTTTGGTATTTCTCATAGACTTACATCAGACGGAGGAACACTGGAAATCTGGGAGCACTGGACGGCTGTTTCGCCTTAATGTGGGACTCCCCGGTAGTGTGCACCCATGGCCGATCCCTCCAGGGGTCAAACTCACGGTCATGAAGGGGTCATGGGTGCACACTGCTGAGGAGTCCCACGACAGGGCAAGACAGTTGTCCAGTGCTCCCAGATTTCCAATGTTCCTCCAACTGATGTCAGTCTGTGACGAATACCAGCTTTGATATATGTTAGGGATGTCATTGCAGTTGTCACACTGTTTACTCCTCTCTTGTTCTGAGACTGATTGAAAAGAAGAGAAGTGAAAGTCAGTGTACAGTGTGGCATCATGGGATGAAGGATATTCGTGTCCTGTCCGCATCTGCTAGTGCCTAACAACACCATGGACTAACTCTGACAGATTATGGAATTGAATGTCTTTACACAGTGGCAGGCATACCTCAGAATAGAAAGTCTTAGCCACCAGTGTCTAGCATTCTTACTTCGTCTATTACTGAAGCTGAGCAACTGAGACATTAGTTTCTAAGTGATTCTTTGACGGTAGATAGTAGTGAAAACTTATCTTTCATCTTACTCATTTTTTAGCTTTCATTGGAGAATGGAGAATTAATTCGACGTGCTAAAGCTGCCGAATCATTAGCCTCTGAACTTCAACGTCGTGTAGATGAGTTAACAATTGAAGTCAATACATTATCGTCACAAAATAGTCAACTAGAAGGTGAAAATATGCGATTAAAGAGTTTAGTCAATGATTTAACTGACAAGAATAATGCCTTAGACCGTGAAAATCGTCAACTTGGCGGTAAGTTTCAATGATTAACTAATTTTTTTTGAATACACTTTGGTGTAATGATTCTTTTTATTTTCAATGTAAATAAATTTCATTCATTCTTAAATTTAAATAGGCGGTAGCAATAGAAATCAACCAATAGTAAATAACCTTGTTCTAAACATTCATTATTCCTATTGGTTCATCATATTGACAAGGTCAACCGCCCACATTCTATCCTTGAATATATACAATATGAATTTGACTTAAAATGTTGATATTTTCAAGGTTTAATCCAGTGTGATAATATGCAGAATTTGATTTCAGAAAAGAAAAGATGAAAAAAAAGTGGATAATTTTTTTCTTTTTCTTAATTCAGATCAAGTTAAAGAATTGAAGAGTTCACTTCGTGATGCAAATCGTCGACTAACTGATTTGGAAGCGTTAAGATCACAATTAGAAGCAGAAAGAGATAATTTAGCCTCAGCATTACATGATGCTGAAGAAGCTTTACGTGACATGGATCAGAAGTATCAAGCATCACAAGCGGCATTAAATCATTTAAAATCGGAAATGGAACAAAGACTTAGAGAAAGAGATGAAGAATTAGAAAGTTTAAGGTAAGAATATCAGTGTTTATCTTTCTTTTTTTATATATCTTTCAATTGGACAAGAATACCGTTTTAGGGTTTATCCTGGTGCCAACTTGACAGACGCAAACACCAATCACTAATTATTCGGACTTGTTATATACCGACGAATACGAAACCAAGGAAGAAGACGATAGCGTAGTCGGATGGAATAGTATATTTGGGTGGTTGTGACAAGATACCGATGCGTTCCAACTAACTGGCTAGAGAGTGGAATACGAGCAGTGCAACGTAACACGAGAGTGTGCCAAATGGCGAGGATGCTTGACCGGGTGCCTTCAGCTTAGCGAGTCCAGTTAAACTATCAAGGTCAGCATCAATGTTGAATATCGTCGAAAGCAAGGCTATTGATTTTGGGGAAGTGTGTGACGCTACACCGTCTTCTAATCTCATAAACCACTAAATGAAGTCAGAAACACTGGTGGATATGAGGAATAATAGAGAATCTAGTGCAAAAATTCATTATTATCAGTTGATAGTGAACAAAAGACAATTTTAAGCAAAATATGATGAAACATTCAATACTCTGATAACAAAAGAGATTTACTGCCATTATGATACTGTAGTCCATTTTCGTTTATCATTAACTGTCCTACGTCACTCTGACGAACAGTTGACAACTTCATACAATGACAGGGTGTTCTGGTTGTGGAACTCTTACCTACCTTTCCTTATCAACTCTACTACAGCTATAGTAGGAAATAAATGTGACGGAGGTCATTTATGATGCACACCGCACTTACTTTACACCTTGATGCAGTCATGTAAATGACCTGTATTTTTTGCTTTAAACTGACATTTCCATCCCTATGAAGTTGAAGAATTGATGTGTTATACTTTGAGTGAATACTTTCAGGTATATTGTTTTCCATCTAAAATAAATCTTTTTGCACAGTCACAATTTAGGATGAGACAAACCATCGCCATCTACCTTGATTTGCCATGTTAGGGTAAGCTGAATTAGGTGGGAAGAGATTTTAGGGTGTCCAGAAGAAGGCATGGCTCCATTTGATGGAATCCATCACTGTTGGTCTGAGCCATTTGGAGAGACATAGACTACTTGGTTCAGGTCCTTGAGATGAAAGGAATCAGTGGGTAAGGACTGATTCTTGGTTATATGGCTGAAAAGTAGTCACAGTGGAGCAGACGTATTCACTCATTCGACACCTTATAAAGTTTGAATACTTTCATTAACTTTTATCTTCATGCTCCGTGAGGTTTCACTTTGATTTTACCAGTTACCATTAATCAGCTTACCAGGGTTCACATAACTATCTGAATAGGTGAGGCGGTCAACTTACCTCGTGAATCGTACTTCACAGACATGCACTGCCTGTCCAAGACTAAGAACTATTATCTCAATGATACAGAATTGTTCAGTTGATCATTTGCAACTTTCCGCCAGGAAAAATCTACTTTCTTAACTAGTTTAAACAATGAAGGGAGCATTTTTTTGTTATTCTGAAGTTCTTCTAAAACAATTTAGGATACTCATCTTTATCTAGGCATTTCTACCAAAATTAAATTTTCGCATTCGTCTCAGCAAGTTTGATGGAAAAACACAGAAACTTGTTCCCTTACCGTCTTGGGGTCCTTGCCACTCTTTAAAATGCGGAATACACCCAATTTGTTTATAGGGAAAAAAACATAACGTGGTTGCAGCGACGTAGTCATTTACTACTAAACTGTACATTCATGAATATGTATGTTACAGTGGGTAGAATATTCTAGACTCTTATTTCTGATTAGCAGGCAAAATATATTAAACAACTATGGTTTATGGTGGGAAAATAGACAAGGGATTATGGAAATACATGTACAGTTAACGCTTTATGATGACCATGGTTGGATGTACATTTTTTGAACGCATAACGCTGGTTTGAACTTCTGGATGGTTAGTGCTTTGATCTTACTCCTTTCGAGTTGTTTGATCGAATTTTGAATGAGTTCTCAAAATGGGCTAAGTGGCTTGAGTTCATGAGGTGTTCTGTAATTGAACTGAAGATACATTTCCGTTCTCCTTATGGTGGCCAGCCAGACTGCGTAGGGTTTGCGGGCACGTTTTACAAGCGCATCCATGGTACAGCCAATGTACTTAACTCCATAGGGGCATATCAACTGGTATACATCCGCTGATCTGGTTCAATGTATCCGCTTATATTGTTAAATGTTTCTTGCAGGAGAAAATAATCCGAATGTTATCGGCGAAGTATGTCCTACTTAAGGATTTTGAGTCGTTTCTTGATGATGTATGCAGCAATATCACTTTTGAATTGAAGATTCAACAAAAGAATCTTTTTCGGCGCCAAATATGTTCATTCAGTTGGGTTGTTTGGTTTTATATTCTTATCTATGAATGTGAGCGAGAAACCGTTTTCCTCTAGAGTTCGTCGAAGATTATGTACTTCTACGTCAACAGTGTCCTCAGTACATATTCCTGTGATCGTCGAAGAAAGCAAATAGATAAGATTTCTCCTCCAGAATAGAGGGAGTGAACTTTGAAAATTAATCAACTGTCTGTTGAACGTAGGCTACTAGGAAATCGATCCACTACATGAATTATATATAATCTTTTCTTTAGAGCTGAATATCAAGAAAATGGAAGGTTGAGTTTGATTTCGATTCTAGAGTGAATTTGGTTGAAGGATGAGTATTGTTGAAAGTATGAAGCATCTTTGCAAGATTCATATTTTCATCACAAACTATAAAGGTATCATGAAAAGATCTTTTGTAGACATGATATTCATTGATTGTTGATGCTAAATTGATGTTTTCAGGCTTGCAATGAAGGGGTCAGCTAGGAGAAGTCCTTTTACAGAACCCTATGCAATGCCATCTATCTTCCTGTAGGTCTCATCTAAGGAGAAGCTTTTTTAGGCAGTGAATTCGAATACCAACATCTGTGTTATGATATTGAATGAATTCACATAAAAAGGAGATGGTTTCTGTCAGTAGGACATTTGTAAAGAGGGATGCAACATTATTATTCTTTCACCTGTCAAATTGACTGAGACAGAGACTTTTTGGTTTAATAGCCTCTTCTCAACAGGTTCAAGTATTTCTATAATCTATTTCGCAACTTAATGATATCGAGAATTTATCATATCTACTATTGAACGGAGTGGAATGCCTTCTTTGTGAATTTTCAGAAGACTATTTAAACGAGAGATCGTAGAACCCCGGTGGTCGAAGTTGTTCATATGATTCTTTGCTAATGAATGATTCATCTCTGATTTTCTTCAGTATTTTCGACAATTGTAACTCTGTTTTTATCATTGTTGTTATTGAATTTTGAGGCAAGTGTGGGAATTTGAAAATATTTCAAGTTGTGACCAGTGGGAGGCAAAGCCTGATGGTCGTGAGGACAGTTACTACTCAACGATGAAATTTGGTGTCGATTGAGTTATATCTAACAGAAGTGGAAATGTGAACCGTTGGACTGTGACCCAGTGGCTCAATGGTGACGTGCTGGCCACGGGACCTGAAGGTCATGGGTTCAATCCTTGGCGTGGTCGTAGGTGCGCACTGCTGAGGACTCCCATACTAGTCGGACAGAACAGCTGTCCAGTTCTCCCAGGTTTCCTTTGTTCCTCCAACTGATGTCAGTCTACGATGAATAACAACTTGAAATATTATTATCATTATGATTATTATTTATTACTTTATAGAAAGAGCACAGCAAGAACAATTGAAGAGTTGACTGTAACAATAACTGAGATGGAAATCAAGTATAAATCAGAATTGTCACGTTTAAAGAAACGTTATGAAGCAAATATTGCTGAACTAGAAATGCAATTGGATACTGCAAACAAAGCTAATGCAAATCTTATGAAAGAGAATAAGAATTTAGCTCAACGTGTTAAAGACTTGGAAACATTTTTAGATGAAGAACGTCGTCTACGTGAAGCAGCTGAAAGTAATCTACAAGTGAGTTTTTTTTGTTTTTCAGAATTGTGAAATATTTTAACCCTGAATATGTAAGGCGAAAACTTGTTATGATTTTCAAGAACTACTATATGCTATGGCCTATAACAACGAATTACGCATATCGACTGTCGGCCGCCAATATTCAACAATTTCCTAGCTGATTCCTGGCTCGACTAATTAATTCAGAAGACACGATGGGCATGTAGAAACGTGTATTCGTATCGAAAGATTACTGATTGCCTGATCCATGGTCTATCTGTCTGTCTAACTGTAGACATGTTAACATAAAATACATTTTGATTGGTTGCCCTCAAGACTAGGCTTTTCTGTCTACCCCATATCATTTCCCTCCTGGAAACAATGTTATTTGGGTGTCAGACTAGGCCGCACTGTCCTTTCCCTCCATCTTTCTGAACGACACAATAGGAGTTTCTCCTTGCTGGCTAGGGGGGGGGGATCAGTAGTCTACTTGACATTCTTACGGTGGGCAGGTGCATGAGCCTTTCGAGAATTAGATCTGCGGCGATATCTGGAGGATGACCTTTGTACACATCGTTGTGTGTGTTGGCGGCAAAAACTGTCCTTATGACCTCCAGCATCACATTCGCTGCATTGATGTTGTTTACGTGGACAAGATTTGACGAAACCCAGGCACCACAATGCCAGTAAAGCGATCAGCGTATCTTCTTCAACAGTGGGTTGGCGTCGCATGAGTTACTGAGCAGGTGAACAGGTGAGATAAGGCCAGAGAGTGATGCGGAGGAATGAGGTGTTTGGCGAACTGCTTGTACTTCAGAACCACCCTGGCAGCCGGGTTTGGCTAAAATCATATCACGCCCAGGTTACCCACTCGTTGATATTCTACAGACATGTCATTCAGTGTCTGGACTGTGGCGTCTAAAATGCGATCACGTGAGTTTTACGGCGAAATCATGTTGCAGTATTGGTCGAGTTCATGTGGACCAAGCTCTCAAATTTGGAGATATACCTTCCCGGAATCATTTTGGTTAGCAAAAAGCACTTTGAAGATGATTTCGATAATACTCATTTGTTGTTCGACGGAATTGTCCAATTTTGAAGAATTCATTTTTGAATATCGCATCTCTGCCGCCAGTGTTATGATTTGGAGGACTGCTATATACTATGACCGTTAACAACAAATCACGGATATCGACTGTCAGCCACCGACTTTCAACAAATTCCTAGTTGATTCCCAACCCAACTAATTCATGGCAAAAATACGATGGACATGTAGAAACGTGTTAAAAGACTACTGATTGGCTGATCTATGGTCTTTCTGTTTATCCAACTGTCGATATGATAACATGAAGTACATTTTGGTCGGGCACTCTCCAGTCTAGTCTATTCTCTCTATCCCAATATTAAAACTTGAATCTATCGGTTGGTCATGCTACACTTATACATGAATATCTTCTACTCACTGGATTCTAATAAGTCTCTGAGACTTTGTTTATGACGTTGAATTACTCTTCAGTAGGGAGTAGATGTCTTGAATGTTTCAAGATCTTGATGACAACGATTATGCTTTCAGTTTCCCTGAGCATATTTCTCAAGTGAACGCATAGTATAATCAATGTACTTAGCTCTACAAGGGTAAATAAATCGAAATCGGTAGGTAGCCCGAAACATATTGGTATTAGTCAGTAAGGCGTATCTGAAAATTCGGCGGAGATGATATCCCAATGTTGAAGACAGCGGTATACACACAGAACAATATCAACTTATCGTTGCCATCAAAATCTCTTTTTGCTAGAACTCTGTAAAGTAGGATAAATTATCAAGGAGGATAAAGGTGTATAACTTGGCTAATGGCAGCTCTTTAAGCCTAAAATTGGGATTTTGTCTAAAATGTTTCCGAGTAACATCTAGCCCATATTTGATGTTATCTATTGAGAGTATGTCGACAGTAACGTCTACTTAACCCGTGTCTCATATTTTTAATCATGAAGAAACCAGTTTCCTTTACAGTGGTTGGAACAAAAGACTCCATTATACAATTGCAATTCAAATAATAATTTTGGCGCCAAAAAATATTCACTTCAGTAAAACAACCAAACTTGTTTATTTATTTCTTTGATGAATTCTCTTTGAAAGATCTCTGAACATAAACGTATACAACTTGCTAATGAAGTTGAAGAATTGCGTAGTGCGTTGGAGAATATGGAACGTGCACGTAAACACGCTGAGACAGAACTTGAAGAAGCTCAATCACGTGTCAGTGAATTAACCATGCAAGTCAATACATTGAGTAATGACAAACGTCGTCTTGAAGGTGATATCGGTGTTATGCAAGCTGATATGGACGATGCTATCAATGCTAAGCAAGTATGTTATACATCAAGTTCTATATTTTATTGTATATAAATGTTTCTCTTTCATGTTTATTACCAGTAATTCTGTCATATCGCTTGTGTCAAAGTACCCAAAATGGCTTTTAAACGACAAGTGTATTACCTGAACAAGTAGTTATTTGGGTTCAGCAGTCTCTCTCTCTGTTCATATCATTGAGGACTTGGAAACACTGGAAAGCGGTTTACTTCTAGTAAGGCAATCGACAGCGGTATCCATCTACTATTCGACCACTGACCGAAATCAGATTTCATCGCGAACATGTTAACTATTCACCCACTGGGTTGAATGATACGCCAGTTCAGTGCCTGGAAGTTTTCAATAATTCTTCAATTGACGTCAGTCCGTGATGAATACTACCTTGAACAGAAATAGTCAAGAGTGTGTGCTGAATTCACTCAAAGCAAGCATATACAGATTAGTGGAGTAGTAGACAATGAATTAAACACTTGTTCCATCTGTGGACTAGTAATACTACATGCTTAGCTGCTCATCCGTCGGTAGATGAAGTCCGTTTCCAACATGTGACCAACTTGATTCAAATTCATATTGTTAAACTAATGAACCACAACTGTATGCTAAGAACAGACATTCATTCATTCATTCACTCTGTAGAAGTCAGCCAATTCAATCAGACCTTCTGAACACAGTCTCATACAACCTTTTCTTGAGTTGACTTCAACTATCATCTAAGTAAAAAATGAAATCTGTGTAAGCTAAGCCTGAAGTTGAATTTAGGAATTGTGTGAGACAGCGATCATAGATCATATCAAGTAAATCGAAGAGAATCCTATCCATAATCTGATCATGTTTATGTCTGTATAGTCAAGTGTAAATAGGTATAGTTATGACTGATAATTATTGATTATTGTGGAAGCAATTACCCACCGGTTTACAGTCAGATACTCACATACATGGTACACACGTATCTACCTTTATCCACATAAGACTCATATATAAATCTTTGAAAATATTCGCAACTGTAACACCAAGGTGAAGAGAAGAATAGTGTACATTCCATTTCCTCATCCATATCATCATGAATGCTGTACAAACAGATTAAGTAAACAGTCTATTGATCCGATTTCTGTGTGTGTGTAGGTTCTAGGAAAGTAAACCGTGTAAATCTGTTTTCCAGAGAATTCAATTGTGCCATGGAAACATTGCTGATTTTGGCACTGCTAATATTCATCATCATCATGATAATAATAATTGAAAAGGGTGGAAATCGCTTTCTTCAAATGAACCTCTTCACGCTTAACCTTGAAAGACTTCTGCAGTCGTAAACATGCACACACACACACACACACAACGTAGATCAGGAGATCATCCCTCCTCTTCCCACCTTGATTCAACCGATCACATCACAACTATTTCTCTACGATCACGGTTAGCTGGCACAAATAAATTGAAACCTGAAAAGGTTGATCATTAGAGAATTTAATTGAAAAATCAAATATATGTGGATTTTAATTTCTTTATCCCTCTGCCCCCCTCACCACCTGTTTCTTCTTATTTACCGGGATTACTTTCCATTCTCTTTTCACCTATCTAAATGAATGATTGATGCACTTTGATGGTGAACTGGTGCTTCCAGTCAACAATACTGAAAGTCTCTGAATAAACTTCGTCAATCTCTCGCCCACCTCTCTCTCTGTCTCTCTGTCTCTCTCTCTCAATCAACTGCATCTATGTACATACACATATGTGTGTACCAGGAGATTTAACACAGATTGATTATGATGTTTCGAATATTGGAATTAGTGATCTGGTTAGTTGAAGCTATAATGAAATTATTCAGTAGTAAAGGGATCCAATAAGATCCATGAGATAATTGAATTGGATATTAGAAATATTACTGGTGACAAAGTTAAGTTGAGCTTGAGAAGATAATTGATTAAACGTAGAATATTCTCGTCGATAACATCATCTTCTTTGTGAGGTCGATATTGTTGAGTTGTACGTGATGAATATTGAGATATTGCTTGGTTTATTATTATTACTACTATTTATCCCTTGGGTTCCCAATGGAACATAGGGCTTCAGTAACATGTCTCCATTTCACTCTCTTCTCTCCAGTCTTTTCAACCTGACTTCATGACTGCCCACAACCTCTCATTTCTTCCTCACACCATCTCCTCCATGTCACCCTCACCTCACACACCCAACTCGTCATTTCCCATCTAGGTTCGACTCGAGTGCCTGGTCTGGTGCTCGATGTCCCCAATAGGCCTTCTCAGTGCATGTCAGATCCAATCCATCTCCATTCTCTTCTTATGTATATTTGTTGAGAGATAGGTTCACGCTTGATGCTGAGTTCAGTGCAGAAGATCTGCACACTGATTTCAGGTTAATGAGTGCCTGTCTTGTTGTCTTTCCTATCCTGGCTGGCTTTCACCTCCTCGTCTGTGTGTGTGCCGTGTGTAGTTGAAACGATGCTGTCCAGGAAGGTGGGTGAAAGAGGCTACTTCCTTTATCTTTCTCCATTGATGGTGATTGGTGCTTGTTGTTGTTGTTGTTGGTTGTGTATCATCATAACCTCTGTCATCTCTACATTCTCCTGAAGTCCTGTCTTTGCCGCCCTGCTTCTTCTGTCAACCTGACACTTTTTGCTTGATAGTTTATTCATAATAGTTGAGGAAGCTGATTGAGAAATGCTTTGGGCATAAAGAGGAATGTCAGAATTAAGTAGTATGAGAATTCAACTGAAAATAATTGGTGATGTAAATGATTCTAAGACTGAATTAACACTCAGTATAAGGTGAAAGCTTGATGGAAAGTGTAGGATAAGAAGATGTACTAAAATTATTCCAGATTATCAACATTAAGGTGTCTGTAGAATATGGAAGTTGACGATGGGTAGGATGTTAAGGAATTTGTGAACGGTGAATGAGGTTGATGTAGTTGTAGTGGGAATATTTACCTTTTCTGAAGATATAAGTCGAGTTGTTTATTCCTGATTGCCACTGTTTCTGCACTGTGAAGGATTCACAGTTGAGTGACTTTTGTCAGATTGACAGAAACTCGTTTGTTGTGAAGCAAGTCTGGTAGTATGCATCTGGAGGCTGCATAACCGTAACACTGGGAGGTGTTTCCTAGCACCAATAACATCCTGCATAGAATTGGCCAACTTAGTGAAATTCAGTTGAAAATAATTGATAATGTGAATGAGATTAGGACTTACATAAGACTCACTTTAAGGTGATAATTTAATGGAAACAACAGGAGAGTGTGGATGAATTAGGGTGGGTGGGGGGAATTCACTTCTAAGTTACCATGCTCAATGGAAGTGAATTCTGCATATTATAAGTGATTCACCTCTCCTGTGATCAACACTTCCCTTGTCTTGTTTTTTCTGATTAATTAGGCAGCTGAAGACAGAGCGACTAGACTAAATAATGAAGTACTACGATTGGCTGATGAATTACGTCAAGAACAGGAAAACTATAAACATGCTGAAGCTTTAAGAAAACAACTTGAAGTAGAAATACGTGAAATCACTGTGAAATTAGAAGAAGCTGAAGCATTCGCTACTCGTGAAGGACGTCGTATGGTGCATAAATTACAGGTAAGTGTGTATATATGAAATATTCACAACTATCCATAAATCTGTTTGAATAGTACAGTTAAACTGTACTAAAGATTTGGCAATCACTAAAAAATTCCCTGATGAGCAAAAGTGATCACTTTCACTGTAGTTTATATAACCTACAGATTGAAAATTAGTCAGTTGATTCGGCTTAGTTTAAGACGTATCATCTCAGTTTCAAAGTGGAATTACTTCACATGGATACTCAATAATTTTGGCATCATTCATGCTCTATAATAAGTTGAGAAATGTTTTTATTTGATCTGATAGTAGATGACAAGAGATTGATTCTAATATAGGAATGACCAGCTGAATGGATCTGTGTCCTCAAGACTGATGGTATTCTCATAGGTGTTGAAATTATTCAACAAAGTCTTTTTGTAATTCTCAACACACTCTGAGATTATATTTAAGTTGCTCGCTTTAATTGAGTAGAATAGAACTTTCAGAATGTTATTTCTCTGTATAAGATGTCTGATGTCACTTGACTTCACCAAATAATAACAGTCCCCTTAATACCAATGTATTCAGTGGACTGGCTATTCAGATCGATATTCCAGTCGAATGTTTGGAACAGAGCACCAAATAACATTATTATCTATACTTAGCATAACAGTATACTTTATTTGTTAACTGAATCTATTTTCTGAAACTGTGTAATATCCACATGTCTTGGTATCATTTCTCATTCTCATTTGGTCAGCGCTATGTGTTCTCTAGTGATTGTATTTCAATGTCGGATGAGTCATTGATTTCCATCGTTGACCTTACTCTCTAACGTATTATATTAGTAACCTTTCTTCACTCATTTGTTGACTGGTGCTTTTGTATGTCTGTAAGCTTGAGAAAATCACAACTCAATGCAGTTTATCACCAGAACAATAAGTGACTTTCAGTTGTAATAATGTCACTGGAATTTGTAATGTTGAATGTCATGTTTTTGATGTAATCAACTTTGAAATCGGACAAATTTGGAGAAGCCAGACAACAAATTCCTTACTCATTGCTAACTTTCAAATGGATATCCTGAAGGTTGAATGGAATATATTGTAAAGTGTCAGATCAACGAAGCTGTAGGGGCGATCAATCGCATCGTGAATAACTTAATAGTAAGGTCGATGCCTACAGCACCGGGTGGTGTGGATTACGATCTCACAGTGGTCGTTAGTCGCTTTGTAGTTACCGCAGATACTCTGCACTGACTGGTGCTAACAAGGGCAGCTTCTTGCGAATTGCCTCGAACTAACTAAAATCCATCAAAGTGCTATGCGATGGCTAAATTGGAAGGAATGATCGATAAGGTTTTGCCTGCACTCATGACTAGCCAGAGAGAGATTACTTGCCCTCTGGTCTCTTTATATACATTTAATGGAACTGAATGGAACAAAATCCTTTTACACGTTGTGTACATCACTGTTTGCTTACTCTGAATATCCTTTGGAACATAGCAGAAATTCAGACCCTGCATAATTCCTTATTCATTTATGTGATGTGACGTTATTTGGTTATAGTTCAGCGTCATCGATTAGGTTGAATGGATCATGTCACCTAGACATTGCCAGTATTCTTCGTTTTGATATAACTGGTGCTTGATAACAACTAGTATTGGAATCCAGGAAATGCTTCTCATCCTGCATATTCCAAGCGACTGATCCTGGCTTCAAGCCTTGGTGAGAGGCAAGCATGTCCAAGTGGTGAGTCATGAAAAGGCGGAAACGCACATCTTCGATTCTTCTGCATCTAACACTAATGATGGAATTAAGTCAAGCTTTCTTGAAGGGATTGCAGCTGCTAAACTCCAAAGTGATGGAAAACTGACTACTTGTCGCTATATTTAAAAAAACTGGCCTCATTTTTCTCTTCAGTCAGTTTCATGGAATATAATTTTATTCTGAGAAAAATGTATGTCTTTCTCAAGAGTAGAACAAAGTTTAAACTTAACCAGATGGAGGTATATTTTTGGAAATATGTTTTTCAATACATTTTTAGGCTCGTGTACGTGAACTTGAAGCTGAATTCGATGGTGAATCACGTCGATGCAAAGATGCTTTGGCTCAAGCACGTAAATTTGAACGTCAGTATAAAGAATTACAGACACAAGCTGAAGATGATCGTCGAATGGTATTAGAACTTCAAGATCTATTGGATAAAACTCAAATGAAGATGAAAGCGTATAAACGTCAATTGGAAGAAATGGTACGTTCAAGAACATGCTTTCTTATTTATGATATCATGCTTCAGTATTCATTCAATCATGTTGAAATTCTATGAAAATAGTTTTAAACTACTTGTGAGTAATTCCATTTTAGTCTGTTTATTAGAAATACACATACAGTGAAGGAACACAGTAGCATTCACTGGATGTTATTAATAATAATCCCATTAATAATGGTGGTGATAATGGCGACAGGGTTAAGAGAGAATTCAAAGCCTCTGCTGTGTTATCATACATGGAAGGCACGTCAGAAGCACTACGAAGAATTCTCAATAAGGTTGACTGGGATTAAAGTGGCATTCAAAACAACAAACTCACTTAGAAACAAGCTTTGTAGGTTAAAAGATCCTATCGATGCAATTCAGTAAAATAATCTAGTTTACCAGATCCCTTGCAATGATTGCGAGGTCAAGTACATAGGTCAAAACAGTCGACCACGCAGGGTCGATTAGAATAACAGAGTACAAAAACGTTAAGTTAAATCAAGATTAGTAGATCGTAATAAGATAAGAAATGTAGAGAAAAACTCGGCTATATCTGTGCATGCGATGATACACAGTCAGTCACACAGTAGGGTGGGATAGGGTGACAGTGTTGAAAACTAACTTAGTTGGGTGGAGGGAGAGATTGATAACCGATTGAATCTTTGTTTATCCAATCAACACCAAATACATATGGGAATCGAAATGATACTGCACCTGTTCTACTACCGTTGTCATGACAGAGAAGGAGCGAAAGAATGAGGAATATATAAAGACTGTGTCGAAGTCTGTCTGTTGTGGAGTTACCTGCTGATATGAATATGGAGACTAAATTGTGTCCGAAAAGTACGTTATCCAGTGAATGCTACTGTTCCTTCACTGTCTGTGATATTTCTAATAAACAGACTAAAATGGAATTACACTCGACACAGTGCCCAAGTTTTACACTTATACTTGTGAGTAACTTCAGATATAGATTGCATATTTGTGTAAGTCACATCGGGTTTTGAAATCAAATAATTCCATTATTGTTTCACACACAAGCCTACTCCGAGCTTCTTCAGGGAAATAATCAAAATCAATCGAAAAACATGATGTATTTCATCTCCTTTGTCCAATTCTCTTTGTATAGTAGTGATTGTCTTTCTAAATTATGACAACTAATCATTCAGTATAAGGGTTTTTATATGATACCGTCGTTGATTGGACCGAATTGATCGGTCTTTATTAGCATATGGGCTCCTGTGCTGATGCCTCGATATTGCCAGCCATCTAATTATGTTAAGGATGGATTGTGGCTAGCAGTGGAATCCAGAATGCTGCATTTCTTCCCATTTGGGACTCGTCAGCTGGATGTAGTGGTGTAGTGGATAACGCGCTGGTGTTTAGAGCGATCGCTCCCGAGTCCGAATCCCACTGGTGGGAACAATATCACTCACTGGGAAGCAGGACGAAATGCGCATCCTGGATTCCACTGCTAGCCACAATCCATCCTTAACTAATCATTAAGTTTGAGATTGTATATCTCTTGTTGTATGGCTTGTGGGTGTGTGTTTGTACTCTAATTCATATTCGTCTTGATTGTAAATATCAGACAAAAAGGACGGACATTCGTGAGAGTCATTCAGTAATTTTTATAAGTACAAATTGAAAAGGATGAGGTGGATATGTATACAATTTCAGTTGGAGTAAAGTGGTGAATAGTGTTAGCGAATTCTCTTCGCATTGATTTACCGGAATAGTGTGGAAATGAATGGTAGTAATGAAGGTGATGATGGTGACGATGATAGTAAGAATGAATCAAATCAGTGCAGGTTGTGTTGTTGTTGATTCAGAAATAATGGAGTTGAGACCAGTGTTGACGGTAAATGTTTTGAGTCAGTCATTCTGTTTACCAATTAATAATTGCCAAGAGGCAGCTAACTGTACCCTATCTCATTTGTTCAAACTGTTTGGATTCGCCGATACATTTAGAGTTTCAGCTGTCAGTTAAAATCAATTTTGTTTCCCATTTCTATGGAGTGTAGCATGATCGCAGATTCGTTTTCTAGTTTCTTAACCACTGCTAGGATCTGCTTTAAGCATAGTTTAAGCTCATTGACCCTTATATTTACTGTATGGCTATTTTCCCTACATATACTGCAGTACAATCTCTGCATTTGATTTCATAGACGCAGTTCTGCTGAGTTTCTTTAGGTACTACATTTTTAACGTTCATTAAGTTAGAACGTAGGGTATTTGTTGCACGGAAGTCAACTCTTATGTCGTGTTTATTGAGAATCCTTCCTTTCGGTATAGGATTATGATAGTGCTTATCCAGTTTTTCGGAGAGATTTTCGGGACAAAATGTTTCGGGATACAAAATGTTTAGATTAATGAATTGATTCATTCTGTTTACTCTTTTTTTCTCTCTCATAAAAGGAGGAAGTTTCTCAAATTACAATGAATAAATATCGTAAAGCACAACAACAAATTGAAGAAGCAGAGCATAGAGCTGATATGGCTGAACGTACAGTGACTGTTCGTCGTATTGGTCCAGGTGGACGAGCTGTCTCTGTAGCTCGTGAGCTATCTGTCACTTCAAGTCGTGGAATGCGTGCAACAAGTATGATGTAAAGCTTAAAAATATTACAAACAAACAAACAAACACACACATACATACATACACATACATACATAGCATATTTGTTTGTCTTTATATTCTTCTCCTGTTACTCGAATGTTTCGTTTCATTTTGATATTAATGACGAGGAAGTTAACAGTTGAATAGACAAATAGCTGACTGTTATTCTCCTCTACATTTTCTCAATAAGCTTTCTTTGTGTTTTTGTTAAACTCTTAATATGGAGACTAAGTGAAGTATTAGACCATTGAAAAAAAAATATGCTTGGCACCAACTATTGATTGATACTACTCTACTGAAATTACTGTCTCTTATTAGTACTATTAACGATAATGATGATGATGATGCTTTGATTATTGTTTAAAATTAGCTTACAAATCTTAGGCATGATTAATTTCCCCTCTGTCTTGAACCAATTTATTATTCCTCTAACTATCATAGAAGAAATAATTTTCTCCTTTTAAAAAATGCCTTTCTTCCCACCATCTCCGTTTTCCTCTTCGCTTTCGTCAGTTGATTGTTCTTTGAAGAAGCGAAGATAAACAAAAAAAGAAAGCAACACACATACACACACACACACACACAACTCGCTTCACATTCTTTTACTTCTTACTTACAGTTAGATATTCCTTTATATGTTATAAAATGCATTCACAGTCTACATTAGACTGTCATGATTTCGTTAAGGTTTTAAATTGCATTCATTAATGCTTACAAGTGGATTGAAGAAAGGTTTTTCGAACTTATGGGCAGTCAAAACTCCTATTGTTATCGTTATTATTACTGGTCACCTTTTTAAGTTTATACTTTCTTTCTATATTTATCCTGTTGCTGACTTCTCTGTCCAGCCAGCCAGCCAGTCAGTCAGTCAGCCTTGCAAACCCAATCTTGTCTAACCCCTGCGCGCACACACACACACACACACACATACGGTCACAAACGTATGCATACATTAGTGCAAAACGTTATCAAGGGAACTACCTAATTCACAGGCTTTCTTCTCCTTTTCCATCAAGCAGAAATAACCAGTACACTACTTCTGTTGCTGTCCCATTTGTCAACTGGTACATAATCTTTTCTTTATGCGTCCCTTGTGTTTCTCATCTATCTTCCTCTTCTTTATTCCACTGTACTATTATTGCTACTACCGTTATTATTATTATTATTACTGTTGTTATTATTCCTACCGCCTTACCAATGGTCTCCAATGCAAACAATCTCTCCTATTGTTAAAAAAAACAATTATGCGATGTTTACTTAACTATTACAAAAAACATATAGATAATCTTTATTTAGTCATTGTATTTTTGTTTTCAACGGAAGATGAAGTTACTAGGTTGGACGAGATGAGGCAGGTTTTATGATTACATAATTGCTGTCTAGGACAGGATTACGCTGAAAGTGGATTTTAACTGTTAAACACTGACTGACCAAATAGATTCCAACTTTATGACTCAACGAAGGGGTGTTTCGCCAGTTAACTTGTCATATAACTCGTTCCTTAGATGGATAGTTGAAGTCAACTCAAGAAAAGGTTGTATGAGACTGTGTTCAGAAGGTCTGATTGAATTGGCTGACTTCTACAGAGTGAATGAATGAATGAATGTCTGTTCTTAGGCGACAGTATTGCTACATTCCTACATAAGATTAGTTTATTTAATATAGCACACAGTTGTGGTTCATTAGTTTAACAATATGAATTTGAAGTTGTTATCGTTGACTGACATCAGTTGGAGGAACAAAGGAAACCTGGGAGCACTGGACAGCTGTTTCGTCCAACTAGTATGGGACTCCCCAGCAGTGCGCACCCACGAGCCCACCAGCAAGGACCGAACCCGCGACCTTCAAGTTTCGCGGCCAGCGCGTTACCACTGAGCCACTGGGTCAGAATCCAACGCTCCATATTTCCAACTTCTGTTAGCTCCAACTGATGTCAGTCTACGATAACAACTTGAAATAATTCGAAATCTCCACAACTCCCTCAACATTTAATATGAATTTGAATCAAATTGGTCACATGTTGGAATCGGACTTCGTCTACCGACGGATGAGCAGCTAAGCATGTAGTATTACTAGTCCACAGATGGAACAAGTGTATAATTCATTGTCTACTACTCCACTAATCTGTATATGTTTGCTTTGAGTGAATTGCTGTTTTAGGCTCAGTTAAGTTGTGTACGGAGATGATACTGAATGATTACTGCGCTGTATCACAGGCACAATGACATGATGCAACTGGAGTATGTGGACGATTGAATTAGAATGCATTCATTGAACAACAGTGTACTCATCTCGATACCTAACAGGTTCTAGCTTCATTTCGAATGCGGTCATAGAAGAGTTTTAGACGACACAGAAACACTTAGCTGATCCTCATATCTTGCTAATACTTCTCCAATTAACGACGCTGCGTGATGCTCAGCTGTCTTCCAATATTTAATCTCCTGTTTATTTATGGATTATGGTATGTGGGTGCAATGTTTCAGTGATAAGCCCAAGTGTAAAATGGTAGTTCGGGAGTCGTGAACACATACTCACTACGTAGTAGTAGAAATCTTGGCAAGGATGTGGTAGCAGTTTGGCGATGACGGTGCTTCATCTATGCATAAGTGGTGGAATCGTAAACATTTAAAGTAGTTCTGTTTAACTTTGTAAACTGCTTTACAGAATGAATGACCCAATTCTATTAGGTGTTCATACATGAATGAAGCCGTTTTTCTTGGCTCACCTTTGGTAATCTAAACCCGGGTAATGTTCAGCAACATGTTTTCAAAGGGCCCGCTTAAAACGTCCAATATAGTCAGCTCTATAGGAGCATGTAAAGTTGAAGATACACTTAAAAGTGGACATAAGTGGAAGCCTGTCCTTCACGCATTGTTGAATCAGACAGCGGCTGAAGAATATCAGTCTCAGTCTAGCAGCATAGAAGCTACTACTGATACATCTTGACAGACGGTTTATCAGCATCTCGGCTAGGGTGTCTCCTTTGAATTCTAGATTCATGGTTAAGATGGGATGGCGAGTGATTCATTTCTTCAGACTCTTATCAACAAATCTTTTAGGATATCCGTTATTAGATAGTTTTGTTCCAAGAGTTTCTATTTCAACATCCACCGTTTCTTCTGAACTTGTCTCTTATCTCACCACTTGTTATCAATTCGTTCCTCCTTATTCACAGTGACCCTTATTCTATTTCTTCCACTTGAACAAATACCACCACCTACACCTATTGTATATTTTGCATATTGACTGAGCAAATCTCTTTTTAGTGGAATTATCTGTTATTTTATCGAGTATAAACACGACTAGTGTACAACTTGATATAATGAAGTCGTTGAAATGAAATGCTTCTTCTTCGCTGATACATGTCTTGTTCTTATTCATAAATAAGTGGGTATAATCTATGTCGCTGACGAAAATCGTCAATAATTCACTCTACATTCATGATAGATATGAAAAAAAACAATCAGACATTGTGAGTAACAGAGAGATAACATCAAGATAAATCACATGTGGTAACATTACCCAATACATAACCAACAATAGAACAGGAATCATCAGACCTAAACAGCATTCACTTCTAAAACAAAAGTTTATGATCTGATACATTTTAAAGAATTAACCACAAGATCATTCTCATGAAGGACCATCGTCTAACAATAGATAGGAAATCATTCAATTGGAAACAATCTGTTGAAGAGGAGGTAGGTATACACAGTGTCAGGTAGTCATCTTTCCATTGAACATGTGACATTTCTCTCTTTTTATTGTTATCTAATCATCAGTTATCAATCCGTATGGAATACAATAGCTAGAATAAGGCATAGAATGGTAATCAGTCTAGTGTGTTAGTTGTGCAATGAAATCAGTATTGATAGAACAACTACGAAATGAGGAGACATTACCGCATGAATCTGTGTGTGTGTGTGTGTTTACTAAGGGTCAAATAATAACTATGTAGTGATTATCATCTTGACTATCTGAGTGAGGTAGCTGTGGTTTGGCAGAATCCTATTGATATCAAGTGATCATTGAAGGCGACCTTGTGGTCTCTGGTTCGAGTCCCATTGGGGTTTATATTTTCAACTCACCTTCAATCAACTAGTCCTAAAATAACACCAGCAACCATAGGACTATATATGAACACAAGCCCTCTGACAAAAGCAAAAGTCCTGTACACCATAAAGTAGCTGAAAGGCCGGAAAGCAGCACGACCAGATGGAATCCCGCCAGAAGCATTAAAAACAGACGCAGAGACATCAACGGCATACTTACACCACTATTGCAGAAGGTTTGGAAGGAAGGAAAGATAGCTTCGGATTGGAAGAAGGGCTACCTTGTCAAACTACCGAGGGAGGGAGACCTAGACCTTTGCAAGAACTGGCGAGGAATCATGTTCCTGTCCACCCAAAGCAAAATATTAAGCGGCATTATCCTGGAGAGACTAAAGGATGCGCTGGATTCAAAATTACGACCAGAACAGGCTGGCTGGATTCAGAAAGAACAAATCATGTACATATCAAATCGTGACGCTATGCATCATCAGCAAAGAACAGAGCATAGAATAGCAGTCAACCCCACCTTCATCGACTTTGAAAAGGCCTTCGATGGAGTCGACTGAAAAGTAATTTGGTAACTGCTTCGACACCATAGTTTTAGTGACACAAGTTTTAATCCACCTCATCCAACAGCAGCTGTATGCTATACGAGGATGCTGCATGCCAAGTGATTGACAATGGAAAGCTCGGTGATCCTGTGAAGTGAAGTGAAGACACGAGTAAGACAAGACAAAGTTGCCTACTATCACCATTGTGGTCGACTGGACTGGAATGGACTGCATAATGCAACAAACTGTGAGAAGTAAGAAGACGAACATACGCTCGCTGTTTGACGCGTGAAAAGACCCTAGACGATTTGGAATTCGCAACTGGTCATCTACGTCTAATGTGTTATGTCGCAAAAACACGAAAATGTACTGGCGAAAACTGACAAGTTGGTAGAAGAGGCGATATGAGGCACGGATGAGAAGACGAGACTTCCTTCAGGTGAACGTAAAAAAGAAACAGGTGATGAAGATACCCAACAAACTATAAAAACAACTAGCACCAATCATCATGAACGAGAGAAATCTGAAGGAAGTTACCACTTTCACCTAACTACCTGCCTGCCTACCTACCTACCCACCTACCTACCTACCTACCTACCTACCTACCCACACACCTACCTACCTACCTACCTACCTACCTACCCACACACCTACCTACCTACCTACCTACCTACCTACCTACCTACCTACCTACCTACCTACCTACTACCTACCTACCTACCTACCTACCTACCTACCTACCTACCTACCTACCTACCTACCTACTACCTACCTACCTACCTACTACCTACCTACCTACCTACCTACCTACCTACCTACCTACCTACCTACCTACCTACCCCTACCTACCTACCTACCTACCTACTACCTACTACCTACCTACCTACTACCTACCTACCTACCTACCTACCTACCTACCTACCTACCTACTACCTACCTACCTACCTACCTACCTACCTACCTACCTACCTACCTACCTACCTACCTACCTACCTACCTACCTACCTACCTACCTACCTACCTACCTACCTACCTACCTACCTACCTACCTACCTACCTACCTACCTACCTACCTACCTAC